GAGACACATACAGGAAACCTGTCAGTCTCAGATGAATCCTGCATGGAAATATCCTTAGATTCAGGCTAAGGAGGCTGAATGAAGGATATTCAGGGATAAACACAGAAAGTTTTCACAGCTCCAGAAAATAATCAAGATTACTTTTGTAACTTTCCCAAATAAGGAGCATTTTCCACTAAATTCCTTGGGTTTGTCTGTCATTTAATGAGCAGAGTTTATATTTACAAAGTCAGAACAAAATGATCATTTTTGGTGACAAAAAGTGTCACAAGGTAAATTCTTGGTCAAGTTTATTGGTCAAGGAAGTGGGAATAAATTTGGAAGCCTAAGCCACTCTCTGGTTTCTTTATTTACTTTATTTTATTTACTTACTTTTTTTTTTTTCTTGTTCAATTTACTTATTTTCTTGCTCCCATCTTGTTTGTTCAGAGCATGGTGATGTCTCTTAACTTTTTCAAAGAGCTGCATTTGTCAAGCTCCCAGTTCCAGAGCTGGAGAAGTGGTGACACGGTGCCTGCTGAGTGACTGAAATCTCACGGAGTGAGTGGGACAGACCGCTGCCAAACAAATGTATCAGAGCTGAGAGAGCTTTGATACTTTTCCAGGAAATCCTGTCATGGAAAGCAGAACCATACCAGGAATGACAATGCTGGGAATGCAAAGCCAAAGGACACACAGGCTTTGGCAACAGTAAGAGCACACCAGACCTCCAGCTGAGCAGATGTATAGTGTAGCTGTGTATAAAAATACACCATCACAGCCTCGCTCCTGCACTGCCTTTATGAGGCATCCTGCACAGATGTTCCAGATTGCTTGAGAAGATCCCATCTAGTTGCTCCAGACGTGTGTCTTCTAAACTTTTCACATGAACTAATATAACATCATTGTTTTCACATATTTATCTGCCCTACAAGAAGTATTTGTTGTGTAGCCAACAGTGAAGCCTCATCCTCCAATGGAGAAACGACTCCAAATCAGTTCCCTTTTCTAAATTCCTTGTGGGATTTGCAACAGCAGAAACCCTGCAGCACAGCCTGAGCCCTGTGTAGGCTGCAGCAAAGTGGTCCTCACATGGGGGTGTGGAGGAAATTCCTGCCTGCATTTACCTTCCAGGCACATCTGTACAGGTGCCAGAGAGCTGCAGAGCTTGCTTTTGGTGGAGAAAGCTGTTTTTACTTTCAGCTGTGCGTGAATCCACTGGCCAGGGCTTCTCCCCACCCAGAGTACTGGGCGGGGGCACCTTTCATTAAACCAGGATGCTCAGACCTGACCCTGAACACCTCCAGGGATGGGATAGCCACAGCTCCTCTGGACAGCCTGTGCCAGGGCCTCACCAACTCACAGTAAAGAATTTTTATTTTCTAATATCCGATCTAATCCTCCCCTCTTTCAGTTTGAAGCCATTCCCCTTGTCCTGTCAGTACGTGTTCTTGTAAATGATGATGACATTTAACTGCATGCTTTTACATTAACGCATATAATTTTTATTTTCTTAATGCAGTGACAGGGATGATATCAGGAAAAATTATGCTTAAAAAAATCTATTGCTTGTATAAATAGTAAAGGATAACAAACAGTATTTCAACAAACTATTTCTTGTCTAGAGGGTGCTAGAGGGCTGGCTAAGCTCCCATGACCCTGCGAGGTGTGTGTTAACTTCCTGACAGGTATGGTAATAAATACTTTCAGTCAATTTGTCTCTGCAGACCAGCACGGAAGTCTTTAAAAAGGTATTCACGAGTATTTCCCATTCCTGCTGGTGTTGCAGCCAGTCCCATGCGTGGGTTTTATATCCCACAACATTTACTGTGAGTTAAAGCACCACAGGCATGATGTAAATACATCCTTGGTGAGTGTTCATCCCGATGGCACTCAGGCAGTTATGCTGAGGATACTTTGTGGATTTCTGGAGCAGAAATAACAGCTTGTCACGATTTCTGTCATCAGCTGAGGTGCAGGATGTGGCCTCACTATTTTTAACATCTGCTGCTACACCCATCTATAAGAAGAAAACATCCTGTGGGTGTTAGCGTAGGTGATGCAAACTTTTAAGTCCGGACAACTTCATTCTTAAAGATTTTATAGTTCTTCAAACTATCAGTGCACAAGAATAAAGCTTTAGCAAAGCCTACCTAACATATTTTTCTGATGTCATTAGCCAATGTAAACGAAACCATTAACAGGCCTCTTTAGTAAAGGTAATTAACAATACTTTTGGAACTTTTCATGTGCTCGGTAAGGATTCTGAAGATTTCTTTGAAGGAGCTTCAGAGGGACTCTGGAACAGGATTTTGGTCCAGGAAAAGATCGCGCAACTAAAGCCTAGACACTGTTGTGCGTACAAAGCAACATTTAATCCTCTGAATAACTTCAGCGGAGACACCGTGGCGCTCCCGCTGGAATACACGCAGGAATTACACTGGAGCAGCGCCGCATTTCCTCCCGGCCGCCCGGAAGCGCCTCCTCCCGTGACACCCAGCGCGGCAGCGACACATCCTGCCCGGGGGTTAGCCCGGCCCCAGCCCGACCCGATCCGGTCCGACCCGATCCATCCCCTCCCTACCGCCCGCAGGGTGAGTGCGGGGCTGCGGCAAGGCCAGGGCAAGCAAGGGGAGGGGGAAGGAAGGCCAGGGCAAGGAAGGCCAGGGCAAGGAAGGGGAGGGGGAAGGCGGCGGGTCTGCGTGTGCCGGAGCCACCGCGTGTGCCCGGAGCCGCCGTGCCCGCCCGTGCTCCCGCTGCTTCCCACGGAGCGAGCGCCTTGTGCTGCTCGGTTCCTGCTCCAGCCCTGCCGAGAAGGCCCCGGGGTGTGGGGAGGTAAAGAACGGGCCCGGAGCCGGCCATGCGGAGCCTGTCCTGGATCGTGTCCCGGGCTGCACCCAAAGCAGCGTGGCCTGAGGGAGGGAGGGGATCCTGCCCCGTGAGACCCCACCCGGAGAGCTGCACCCGGCTCCGGGGTCCCCAGCACGGGAAGCACCGGGAGCTGTTGGAGCCAGTCCTGAGGATGCCACCAAAATGATCAGAGAGCCGCAGCACCTCTGCTGTGAGCACAGGCTGAAGGCTGGGCTGATTCAGCAGGCTCTCCAGGGATATTTTTGCAGCCTTTCGATACTTTAATGCTCTAAGAGGGACAGAAAAGAGTTTTAACCAGGGCCTGTAGCAACAGGATGGGGGGAATGGTTTTACATTGTAAGGGGGTAGGTTTAGATTAGATATAAGGGAGGATTTTTTCTGGTGAGGTTAGTGAGGCCCTGGCAGCTTGCCCAGAGAGGTTGTGGCTGCCCTATCCCTGGATGTGTTCAAGGCCAGGTTGAATAAGGCTTTGACCAAATAGATTGGGTGAAAGGTGATCTCTTCCAACCAAAACCAATCCTTGGTTTGCAGTTGTAATAAATAACCAAACACTACAGAGAAGCACATGGTGTAAATGAAGCAGAGTTCTGTGAACAGTACATATTTGAATTTAACTTCATTGGATTAATCTGAGCGAGCTGAGAGGTTGAAATGATGCCTTTAGGTCTGGAATTCAAAACCATCAAATCAGGGTTGGTTGCATTTGTGTTCCTGACATTTGGGGAACACCAGTTTTAGATCCAAATGCCATCAGCATCTTCAGATCTTGCTGCCAAGCAGGGACTAATTTTCAGTCTTTAATTTTTTAGGCATTCCCTTGCCTCATGTAGTACAGTGGCTTTTTGCAGCTGGGAATGTCCATCCTGCTGGGAAGGTGGTGAGGTGAATTGCCTCCTGCAGGACTGAGGTGACCACAGGTTACTACTGAGGGACAGGCTGCTCCAGAAACTGCTGATGAAACATTGCCCAGGAGCTGGGGGACCTGCAGGGTGTCCTGCTGCACAGGAGAACTTCCTGCTGCTTGGAAATACCACCCACAACTGGAGTTTGGGTTTCAGGATGAGGAATCTGTGCTGGAAGAAGCATCTCAGTACACTGATAGCATTTGCTTTTGGGAGTAAAGGTGCCATTTTTACTCAGCAGTGAAAGCATCAGCATGTTCTTTCTGACTGCTCATGGGTTGGCTTCTCAGACTCGCTCAGACATGCCCAGAGTCCCTTTGGGTTTGGCTGCCAGGCTCTGCTGCTCCAGGCCTTGGGCTGGCTCATCCTCAGCATGCTTAGCTCAGCTCCCCAGGCTGCTGCTGCTGCTCTGGGGGAGGAAATGCTGGAGCAGACTCCAGGCAAGTCTGTCTGCACATGGCTTAGGCCTACTGCTAACTCGATTTGTGCCTTAACTTTCCTGAGAACTTGGCAGCTAAACCATTTGTGAATTGACTCTTTTGTTCTTGCATAATTCTACACAACATACTGTGGAAAAAACAAAGTAATGACTTTCAGCTTTAAAATTAAATATCTGTACTTGTATGAAAGAATTATTTTTATTCTACATAAACCACAAAGTTTGACAGCTTGGCAGTAATCAAAACAGAATCTTGGCATTTTGGTTTTTAAAGTGGTACAATTTTACAAGTTTTAAGCTTGTAGATTTAGTAATTACATAGCCTCAACTGAAAGACATAAATGTTCCCTCTTTTGTAAACTGTTACTGTTGAAGGAAGTGTAATAAGAATACAAGTTTCTGATCCTGCCCCCTCTCTCTACCTTGCTCTGCATATTGCAAATCAATCTCTTAAAGATGAGTTGATTTTTTAAAAAATAATTTGCAGCTCCTGCTACATGTCCACTTGCCCACAGGTTCTTTGTGTGGGTGAGTTCCTGCATTGGTAATGATCCGCTGGGTTCCATCACATGTTCTTTAGTACAAACCCAGCCGTGGGTGTGAGCTCCTGTGAGCTCCCAGCAGAGCCCTTTGGAATTTGCTGGGGTTTGGGAGAGGGCTGGGAGCAATTAGTGGCCCCTGAAGCCACAGGTGTGCCCAATATACTGTGATATCCTCCTGGGTAGGGCAAGAGCTGCTGCCCTGGGCTGTGATCTCTTGAGGTTGTGTTTTGCTGATTGTTCTGGTTTTCTCTCCCCCTGGACAGGAAGATGCCCAAGAAAGGAGGGAAGATTGCAGACGTGGCAAAGGAAACACAGGCTCAGTGCAAAAAGCCCAAGTTGGACGCAGCTGCTTCTCCATCAGTCCTGAGTTTTGAGAGCCCAGACAGCCTCTTCAGGAGCCTGATCTCTCCCATTGAGGAAGAGGAGTTTTTCAGGGACTACTGGGAGCAGAAGCCACTGCTTGTTCAGAGGAATGATGAGCTGGTGGCTGCTTACTACCAGTCCCTGTTCCAGCTGTCCCACCTGCAGGAGCTGTGCAGCCAGGGCCTGCACTACGGGCGAGATGTGAATGTCTGCAGGTGTGTCAGTGGGAAAAAAAAGGTGTTAAATAAAGAAGGTAGAGTGAATTACATGCAGCTGAGGAAGGATTTTGACCAGAAGAAGGCAACAATACAGTTTCATCAACCTCAGAGATTTAAGGTGGGATTGTTTCGTTGTAAATAATGCAGTTAATGCTTGCTTAATTAATGCAGTGTGGCTTTTGCTGAGTGGCACTAGACATGGCTTCATGTCTGCCCCAGGGGAGGTTGGCATTGATGACCTGCTGAAATCTTTACATGAATTGTATTAAAACACAGTTTGTATTTCTGCACTGCCATCATGTTTCAGTGCTCTGCAATAAGAACAAAGTCTGATTCATGCTATGTTTTTCTGTAATATTAAGTGTGCTTTATAAATGCATATTTGATGATTAGGCATCTGTGCTTAAATTATCTCTTCTTCCCCACTTTTTCCTTGTCCAAACAGGGATTTTTGTACCACTTCCCCTTAATCAAGAATGAGGTGTGAAACCATGTCAGGTATTTCCAGGATACTCCACCATTCCTGCCAATGGAATAGCATTGAATTGCACCATGGAAGTGACCAGCCCATTTTAGCTGAGTGTCCTCAATCTTTGTGCATGGGAAGGAGACAGTGGTGCTGCACTGTTGTAAAGGACTTGGATACTTGTAGGTACTTTGATTTAGGCAGTCCTTTTTTGTCCCGAGGTGTCAGCACAGTCTAAGGCCCAAATAAGGACCCAAATACCCAGCTGGGTCCCACCTGTAGTGTCATTGACTGATCTCAGTTATTGGCATCTCCTGATGTTTCCCTGTCACATGTTGGGTATGAATGAGTAAAGTTTGTGCTTGAGCACAAACAATTGGAGTAACTTGTAAAATGTGTCTAACTTTTGTGTTATTCTGTCTTTGATGCAGATGGGATGAGGGTGGATTATTCTGTTTAGGCTCATTTTTGTCTGGTTTTGCAGCCTGAAGTTGGTACAGGGAAGAGAGCAAACATCAGTATTCTGTTGAGACACCAGAGTTTTTGGCTTACCATTACTTTCATGGCAGATCTCCTTTGCTAGTGCAGTTGGGGAGAAGCTGCTTCCCAGGCTGTGTGTTCCTGTGGGGATGTCACCATTCTTCCCCAGTGATGGGCTGGTGGCAGCCAGTCTTGGCTGAGCTCTTCAGTACTAACAGCAACATTTTTTTAAATTTTTTTTTTTTAATAGGAGGAGCTGTGGAAGATTCAGGAGAAGCTGGAGTGTTACTTTGGGTCTCTGGTGGGCTCCAATGTTTACATCACTCCCCAGGGGTCTCAGGGCCTTCCCCCTCACTATGATGATGTCGAGGTAGGACAACATCCCCTTGTCTGTGGGACCCTTTGTGGGCTCCTCTGTGTGTGCTTCCACCTCTCCCCCACAATAAACATTCTAGAAAGAGTTCTGGTTTTCCACTGAAAACTCAGGGTAATTATTTGCAAGTGTTTCCTGATATATTTTTGTACTAATAGTAATGCCTAAGTTTAAGTGACTGGAGAGGAACAGGGATTCTGAAATTCAGGATAAAACAGATCACACTTCACAACTCTCTGTTGTCTCTAAATAGAGTACAAGAATTTAGTTAAAATGTAAATTTGTGCATTTAGATATCTACAAGGTGATGTGAAAGGAATTGTATTTGCTGTGCTGTGGAGTAGCTGAGGGCAGAGAAGGGGAAAATCTGTATTTGTCAGAAAAGCAACCTCTGCCAGTATTTCTGTCCCTGGTTCTGGCTTGGTTCCACAGACTTGGCAAGTCAGAGGATAAATTAAAATACCTGGTGAGCTGGGTGTGTGAGGGGCAGCAGGGCTTCCTTAGCCCCCCCAGAAAATTTGGATTCATGGTCCTTTGCAGGTGTTCATCCTCCAGCTGGAAGGAGAGAAGCACTGGAGGCTCTACAAACCAACAGTGCCTTTGGCTCGGGAGTACAACGTTGAGCCAGAAGAGAGGATTGGGAGTCCCACACATGAATTCATATTAAAGGTATTATAATCTAACTGCTTCAGGTGGGCTGGGATGCGGTAGCAAGAAAAGTAATCATGCTTGGTAGGCTCTTAGAAGTAGCTGATGTGACCAAGTTTAAGGACCATAAGGTTAAAATGGAATCAGATTTCATCAGTATTCCTTCATAATCTTTCTCTTTTTGCTGGTGTTTATAGGACAAGGCATGAGTAAACTGATTTTTCCTTTGTGGAGGCAATTTCATGTGCTTTGCACATCTTTCTTGTCTCAACTTCCCCGATCTCTGTTATTCTCCGTGGAGATATTTAATTTACATAGGTGAGAAGATAGGGAGGAGGAAGGTTCTATTTGTTTTTTTAAGTGTTTTAACTAAAATTTCCAGACTGTTTGGCTTTTCTTGTGAAACACTGGCCTTTTCTTTTGATAATGATCTGAACAAATTCCCAGGGCACTGAATTACCAGCAGATTCATCTCTGCTGAGTCTTTGTCCCCTTCCTGCAGCTCAGCAGGACTGTGCATGTTCTAGCATGTTAAAAGCTCGTGTTTGCTGACAGGTGTAGAGCAAATATTGACAGTAGGTTGGAAAATTTGAGGTGCTGGACTTCAGGCTTAGAGTGCTTTATGTTATTAAAGTGTACATTGGAGAATTGCTCAGTGTTGTGATTTTTAAAGAACATATATTGTCAGTGTGTCTGCTCAGAGTTATTTTCTCTGGACTACAGTAAGGTTTGACCAAGTGGCCTAAATGTATGAATTCTCTGTCATTTTCCTGCAGCCAGGTGACTTGCTGTACTTCCCAAGAGGGACTATTCACCAGGCTGACACTCCTCATGGCATCTCCCATTCAACACACGTGACCATCAGCACCTACCAAAACAAGTAATTCCTCTTTATTTCTTCTTTTGTATGGCTTTCCTCTGCCAGGAGATGTTTGTGTATAGTACAGACCTGAAGCTGGTGTTTCAAAGAAATGATGTCCTGTTTCTTAAAAAAATAACCTTGTAATGAGCTCTGCTTGGGTCTTTGCTGTGTTCATCCCATTCAGCCCTCGTGTGGTTTGTTTTCCTGTGGGTACCACAGGGCCAGGGCATGTCAGCTTCCCCCCAGGGATGTGCTGACATGGAATATAGGTAGACACCCCACTATTACATAGGTGCCCTGCTGTTAGGGACAGAATCTAAGTGAAGTAGCAGTAATTGAAGTTTTGGGGTTTGGGAGAAGGAGGGGAGTGAGACCATTGTTCTTTGAAGCAGCCTCTTTGCCAGGTTTTCATGCAGCAAGCTTGATTGCTTTTTAATTGCTCTATTTATTATTTAGCAGCTGGAGACTTTAATGTGGAAGATAATGTTACATCTGCAAACTCACTGTTGTCTTTAAAAAAAACCCTCAGCAGTGGCTGAAGTTGCTGTTCATTTCATAATCCAGATAAAGAGCCATGGGTTATTCCTTTTATCAGCTTTCCTCCTGTATTTGATTGTCACCCACACCTCTTTAGACAAATTCTTCCATGCAAATATTATCTGCTAATCTGTGTTTTTAATTTTCTACCCCATGCATGAGAGTCGGATTTCTTTTGACACAGGTCAGGTCCTTGTCCCCCCCATTGAAACATTGTTATCACACGGGGAAAATGCTGTTATTGCCACTTATCAGCTCTCAGGTGCTGGGCTTGGAATTACTGGCCTGATTTAGGAATTGGGAAGGATTTCTGTTAGCTGCAAAACAGGGTAGAACCAGTCTGGGCATATTTTAGGTGAGATGAATCTCTGACCACCAGCTGTGCCACTGTGGAAGCCCAGGGTGTCAGTGCTGCTGGTCACTCTTCCTGTGGCCAGTGTGCACAGCAGGGTTTGTCCAGCTGGATCTCTAGGGAGTTATTGGGTGCTGGGAAGCCAAGGATTCAGCTCCCTGTAATGGGCTTGCTGGAGATCTGCAGCCTTGTGAGGATCAGTGCAGTTTCTCCATGGCTGCACCAGCCCAGGCCAGTCCAGTGCGTGACTTGTCAGGAGCACATTCCCTGGGGATGTCTGCCATGGCTGAGCAGAGAGCAGCAAAAGCTTCAAAACTGCTCTTCTTCCCAAGTTAAAAAGTGGAATCATCATCCATTAAGGTTATTGGCAGTGAAGTGTAAGAGCCTTCCTCTGGCCCTGCTGTCAGCAAGTGTAGGTAAAATAAGCAGCAGTCCTGGTGTTTTGATTTGGCTTGTAGGTGGAAGTATGATGTGGAAACATTTCCTTGGAAAATTGAAGAGAATTTGAAAATAGCTCTGGAGGTGGCACTTGCAGGTATTTTTAGGCACCAAGACAAAAGGGACATCTCTGTGTAAGCAGAGTTTGTCTGGCCCAGATCCCAGCAGGCAGAGAGGGGTGCACGTGTGGGATAAGCAGGGCAGTTTGGAAAAGCAGTGGATAGCTGAAGACATTTGGAAACTGAGGGCAAGAGAAGCACTAAGAAGTAAATGTCCTATTCCTTTTATTGGCCAGAGTTCTTTCTTCCCACTGGGTGGCAGACAGTGAAACATTTGAGTAGACATGATAAAAAAACCAGGAGACTTTAATAATTGTTTTATTTATTAACACTAGTTAGGAACAAAAAGTAGGATATGTGTTTTGTTTCAGTGAACTATTTCAGTAATGTTTTTTCTTCTTCCTGTCCTTCAGCTCTTGGGGAGATTTCTTACTGGATGCAATCCCTGGCCTGGTGTTTGATACAGCAAAAGAGGACATGGCATTCAGGACAAGCATTCCAAGGCAACTGCTCATGGTTAGTAGGTGGGACTCAGGGAATAATGGTGCATCCAGGTGATCTGTCAGACAGAAAAAGTTCTGTCAGGCCAAGCTTCTCAATCTTTAAGTCAGTAAAGCTGTGAATTGTTCTGGAACTTCCTTATGGTGGTCCTGTCCTGCTGCTTCAGCTTTGATGTGTGAACAGCTCATGGGGAATGTCTAAAAGAAACAAAACTTGGTTTGGTACTGAACAAAGATAAAAGAGGATTGTCCAGATTTTCACTGCTTTGCTGCACTGCTTTAGGCCTGGTCTGTTCAGCTTGAATCCTTTGTGGATGTTTAGCAGGTGAACACAGCTGGCTGCACCAAAAAGCTGAGCAGCCTTCTGAGAAGGCTTGCAGACAGTCTGGAGAGCTCCAGGGAGCTGAGATCATCCGACATGAAGAAGGATTTCATCATGCACCGCTTGCCGCCGTGCCTGGGATGTGACTCTGATCCTTTGACTCCAGGTAGAGTTTGAACTTCCCAAAGCTGATGTGATGGTGGGGCCTGAATCTGCCTCTTAAAACTTGTAGCATTTCCTGACAGGCCATTTCCATCACAGTCTAGGCCAGCTTTGTGTGGGGCTTGGCTCTGTGTGTGTTTGCACACCTCTCTTGGTCAATTCCCAGTGTCTGGTAGGAGAGAGATGACCTGTTTCCCTTAGACTGAAATAAAGGTTATCCTAGAATTTAAAAATCTTTCTCATTTCTCCTTCCACCACAAGTTTGAGAACTCATGGCTGTGGAAACACAGGTTAACAAAAAATCTTGCTACAAGAGAATGGGTAGTGCACAGGGGGCTCAATTTGTATCACGTCTGGTCTTCCTCCTTTTCTAAGGGAGAATTTATTCTTCTTAGGTGGGAAATTGCCAAAAATAGATAGCAAAATCAGACTGCAGTTTAGAGACCATGCTATCATCACTGTGGAACCAGATCAAGAGAATGCTGTAAGTATAAGGAGCCCACCTTGTATGCCTGGGGTGGGGAGTGGGGGGCACAGGAATTGTTGCTCTGTTGTACTAAAAGGGTTGTGCAGTTGTGCCTGGTTGGATCCTGCATCCCATTATTGCTGTTAGGAGATCCTGGGGCTGTTTGCTGAGCACATTCCAGCCTTCTGGAGGGAGGCACAGAATTATATTGTCTGTGATCCTTAATCACGTGGGGTAGGTCATTACAGCAGCTCAAATGGCCTCTATAGCTCTGGATAATAGATTTTTTAGAAAAAAATCTTTGTATTTAAGACCATGAAGAAGTTATAAGATTAGGGTTCCTGAGGAGAAGGAGGAATTCTCTTGGTTGCATTTAGTCTTCTCTACTGAGTCATGTTTGTACCTAGTGGGTGACAGTGGCACTTACCAGTTGTTCCACAACATAGATACTGGCATTTTGCATCATTCTGTGTTTAGTCTGCTCCTTAACTGTGAGGGTTTATTAGTATGAAATTATAGAAGAGGTTTTTTGTTATCTTAAAAAAAATGGGGGAGGAGAAACACATACAGAGGATTATTGTGTAAATGGGTTTTTTTTGGGTTGTTTGTGTGGTTGGTTATTTTTTGGGTTTTTTTGGGGGTTGTTTTTTTGGTTTGTTTTTTTTTCTTTATTAGTGGAATGTGTCCCTTCAAGAAAAACATACCATAACTTTTTGATTTTTCTCCTCCATTTTATTTGTGTCCATATTGCTGTGAGACTGTGTAGGGTTTGGAAACTTTTTTTTTCAATTTTATTGCACAGCCTTGACCAAGGACTGATAATGGGCATGTGATTTTTAAGAGACAAATCAGTCTCAGATTGGAGATTTATTGATGCACACCTGTTCATTAAGACTTTTCAGGAGAGGTGCCTTAAATGGCCTTTTTACTACAGAGTATCATCAGTCCTGTGACTCCAGCTGGGTCAGTTTTAAGGCAAAAGGTTGTAAATAAACTTTCAGAGGTGTTTTGCAGAGTCCCTTCTTGCTGTGGGAGGTGGCTCTTGGGTCATTCAGCTGAGAAGGTGATGAGTTGCTTTCCTTGCTGTAGCAGTGGCCTCTGGAATTAAGGAGCTGGCACTGGAGTGAGGTGAGTGTGAGGATCACCTGTGACCATTTTCTTCCTGCTGTCTTTCAGGATGAAATTCGCAGGGAGATGGTTTATGTGTATCATTCCTTAAAGAACAGGAGAGAAACTCACATGATGGGGACAGAGGATGACGCTGCCAGTGAGGACGGCCTGGCACAGGTTTGTTCCTGCAAACACACCCCAAAATTTATCTTGCCACTGTGGGTTTGGCTGTGTTGTTCAGCATCCAGAATTTTTCAGCCCATTCCCAGAGTACCAGGATGAGCTGAAATTGCAACACAGGCAGTGAATAGTAGAATTAAGTACTGTGATCTCATGCTTAATTAAACATTTGAGATGCTAATGGGAGATCTTGTGCATGCCCCATGGCCCAGTTAGCAAAGCTGCTGGAGCAACTAAAAGCTTCTCTTACTTGTGTGTCCTTCAGCAGGTGCTGTTGGAGGCTGCTGCAGATGTAGCACACATTCCATGGGGATCACTGCACCTCATTTCTGTCACATTAAACCTGTGTTAGCTCCTGTATCCACTGAACACCCTGTGTAGGGCTGCTCACTTCAGCCTGGGGCAGGCAGCACTGGGAGTGAAGAACTCACTCTTCTGAAATGTAATTCAGGTCTGCACAACTCCAGCAAAGAGGCAGAGCAGAGCACAGCCTGGCTTTGGCTTGGCCAGTGCTGCAAGGCTGTTATTTTCCTTTTGAGGTAAATCTCACTGCTCCTTTAGAGCTGAGGCTGGACCCTGGTACCTGGGCTGCACATAGATATCCCAGGACCTTCTTTCCTGCCCTTAAAAAGAGAGTTTGGGAATGAAGGTCCTCTGTGCTTCTGTGCCCAAAGACTGCATGTGTCAGCTAGAAATAAAGCTCTAAAATTATTGCTCAAATAATGGGCAGGGTCAGCAAGAGGGTAAATTTAAAATTTTTTTTTTTTTTCTGTGTGGAAACCACAGGAGGATGTCACATGTACCATAAACATCCCTACCCTGTAAAATGTGCTACAGCATGGAAGAGTTACCTTTAAGTAAAATAGCTCTGGATAAAACTCTTACCTTTTGGGGGCTGCTCCCATGCACAGGAGTGTGCTGTGGGAACTGAGCACATTCCTGCTGCTCCCTCCCCCAGCCTCACACTCTGGTGTATAATAAAGTCACTGCACTTTGCTGAGGGGTTTTTCTGTCTCTTTTTCCCCAGCAGACTCACGGGCTCCGTTTCCCTCTGTCGTACTTGGATGCACTGAAGCAGATCTGGAGCAGCAGCACTGTTACTGTTAAAGAGCTTAACCTTACCTCAGATGCAGAGAAGGAAAACCTTGCCTTGTCACTCTGGACTGAATGTCTGATTGAAGTTCTTTGATGCTTTTGTGAATTAGCTGCTCCTGGCTATTAGGCATCTCTTGACACCAAGAGATTATTAAATTAGTTTTTTTTAAATCCATCCAGCCTCTGGTTTGTAGTGCTAACAAAGCATTGCAATATCTCAGCTACTTTCTGGTGCCAAATGTTAGCTGTTATTCCACACTTCTGGGAAAAACAGGTAAGTGAGCCACAGCTCCAGGTGTGTGGCTGGATGAAGGCACTCCTCAGTACCCCCAGTGCTGTGGTGTCTCCTTCCCTCTGGAGAGCTGCTGGGATGGGGAGGACATCTAAAGATATACATGGAACAGCATCCAAAACCTTGGGCATAAAACATTAACTTGTTTTTTTCATTTGTAAAGTTCATCAGCAGGAAAAGCTGTTTGATTGCCCTGACAGAACAAAAGCTTCCTGGTAAAAGCTGCATGTGCTGTTCCCACAGGGAACTTTGCCCAAGAAAACCCCTTTTCCCTCAGATGCTGCCAGCCCTGGAATAAACAAAGAATAATATTTATCCTCTACCTCCCTGAGCACAAATTTCAAGTGAAAGTAACCCAAAAGCCTGTAGCTGGAATCTATATCTTCAAGAATATTGAACAATCTTCAATATTCTCTTGAATGGGTTTTGATGAGTCTGGTGCAGTTACTTTAATACTGCATTGATTTTTAATATGCAATCTCACTTAAGAGCACAGCCATATATTCGATATACTTACCCCCCTTTTTTGGCTATTGGAAAAGAAATATTTTACAGGAATGTGCTCAACATCTGCTGAAAACTATTATTTAGTTTGTTTAAAAAGAATCCAACTGGCAAAATGTTTCTCCTGAAAAGTTTTATACAGTTAAAATATACATGCTTTAGCATTTTACATTCAAGGTCTCTTAAGTACAAAAGCCTGCTTTACTTTGTTATGTAATACTGAGACACCAAGTATGATTTAGTCATTCTTCGTTTAAGAAACTACAACTTTTTACACAGGCTTTTAAAATTTCATATGGAAAGTCACATGCAAACACTTGATGTACTGACTTATATGGAAAAAAGCTTAACAAGTGCTTTAGTTGAAAAAATATATACATACATTTGAGGATCTTACTCAAACAGCAGATTTATGATAATTTTAGAATGCAAAATAGTAAGTGCAAGTAGATTTTTTTTTTAAATAGTACTATATAGAACTCAATTTCATACAAAAATAGACATCCATATATTTTACTTCTATGGCAAACTTACGAGTTATGTCTTTGTTTGGGGATGATCCTGGTTGAGTGCCCAGCTGGCACAGCTTTTGGAATCTCAAATATCTGTCTTCAGCTAACCTGAACTCTTTAAACAGTCCTAGAAATACATACCCTGAATGTACAAATGCTGGAAAAAATATATTTTCAATGAAGATTAATTTAGTGCTGCTGAAGCCAGGGAGCTCAGGGCCTTCTCTTCCATGTCAGGTGTTCACAGCCTTCCAAGGGGCTGTGGTTGAGCCAGGAAAAAACTTTTCAAGCACCACCTGCAGTCAGTGAGGTCTGGCTCTGTTGGAGCAATGGCTGTGGTTGCATAGTGTGGAAATTGAGGAGAGCCCTGGCACTCCAAGCTCTGCCCATCACTTGTCCTTGGTGCCACGGTGCCCCTGATGTCCCCACGCTGTGCTGGGAGCATGAAGCCAGCCCTGGAGTGCAGCTGCTGGCACCTTTGGGAATACATGCCAAGGTGAGTTGGTTTTGGTGCTGTTAGAAGCAGAGAAGACAAAGGCTTACCAGTGTCACTTAGGGGCTGAAAGGCCCCTGTATTGCCTCATTTCACATGCTGAGCTGGAATTCCAGTTCAAAGGTGTCTTTATGAACAAAAGAAATTGCATTTTAATGAGATACATGATTCAGGATCGCTTGGAGCCTAAACAGTTTCACTTGGGACATAAAAACCCAGCACAAGTTCCTTGAAGCTCATCAGTGCATTCACTCCTCAGTGAGCTTCCAGCAGGGTGAGAGGAAGGTAAAGACAGCATTTCTGAAGAGCCTTTCCCCTCTTATCTCTTGCCCTTCCCATGCTGCAGAACCTCTGCCTGCTCTTTTGCATTTACCTTTCATACTTCAGAGGAAGAGCAATGGTGACTTTCACAGGAACAGCCTCTGCAGAATCAGCTTCTCTGCAGAGAGACATTGGATCAACCTCCCATCTTCCAGATTTGTGCAAAATTCAGTTCTTTTAGGAGCTGGTGCTTGGCACAAAGGAAAAGAGAGAGGAGTTGCTGCTTATGGTTCCAGTGGTGTATGACTTCAGTAGTTGGGTTCTTTTTTCCCCTCTACATGATGGTAGCCCACAAAAAGTCCATCTGTGGGGTGGATTTTACTCACAATATTTCAATATCCCATTTCTGTGAAGGTCTGTTTTCTATTGGCTGATTCATAATGATGTGATTCTTATCATAGTAATTTCCTCCTTAAAAACAAAAGAAAGTCATGAAGGAAAAGCTTTTGAAAGAAATACTCACAAAAATTATACACCATCTTTGAGAAGTGTGACCAAGTAGGAAAATCAGCTGAAAAATAGGAATTCCATGAGGTAGGGGGCTGGTGCCTGCAACTGAGCAATGACAATTTTAACCAGCCTTCTTTTTTCAACTCCTTTTCTCTTTCTGAGCTATTCTGTGGTGGATTTTCCTTCACCACTTTGTCTTCTGTAACTTGCACTCCTTGCCATCTGCACTATTTAATTCCCCAAAGCACAACAGTTGATCTGATCAAAATAAACCTCTGGAATCAAAAGAGAAAGGTTCCTCCCTGCCCTGCTGTTTCTTGTCCCTCTGCAAATAACTGGACAGGAAATGTAGGATTCAGTTTCTGACCTCAAGAACAAAGGGGGGAAAAAAAAAAGCTGGACTATGGAAGTTAACCTTAATCAAAAAACACCTGTAAAACCTGTGAGCTTGAGAGTTTTTGTTTTTAAATACCTTTAATATCAAGCACCAGTTGCTCACTGAGGTATGAACTGATGGTTCCATCCTCATTGAGTCTCCACTTCTGCCTGTCCCTCCCATGTTCTGTCCAGAGGGCGACTTTGGCTCCAGGCAGGTCTCTGCCCCCAATGACATCCAGACAGGTATTGTTGGCCTAAGAAACAAGGAGAGCAGTGAGATCCAGGCCACAGAGCCTCACTTTTGTGCCTGACTTCTCTCAGGCACTGAGCATATGGCAGTACATCATGGGAAGCAAGCCAAGAACAGATTATTCAACACCCGACCAGCTGCTTGATCAAAGGTGGTGATCTTTTTTTAATGTTAAACCATCAGCTTTTTAAAAAATATTAATAACAGACCATCAAGGGCAGCATTAGCAGAAAAGCACTCTGAAACTCACCTTGGACTTGAGGAGGCCCCTGCAGTAGAGCCAGAGCTGGGAGTCGCTGCGGCTGCGCGGGGCCGCGCACACCGAGGCCGCCCGGACGTCTGCCAGGCTCCCAGCCACGCTCAGGTACTTGCCCTGGGCCCTGTTCCTCACCCTCAGGTACACTGCTGGCTGCAGGGCGGTGAGGGAAGAGATTTACCACACAGATACCAAGCAAACTGATGTGAGAGGGCCTCCCCTCCACCATCCTCCCCTCCATGTTCAGTCTTTGTTCTCAGTTGAGGACGTCCAGTAATTTTTTGGTTGGAAACCAACGTGCATGTGAAGCACAGTAAGTGGTGTTTCACATGCAGATGGGCAGCTATAAACAGCAATGGCAGATAGGTCATTCTTTTTCAAAGAATGTAATTATGGCTATAGAACTAATTCCTGTGATCTGCAAATATGCCCAGTTCAGCACATTTCACTCGTTCCACAGGCAGTAAAGGGGCTGTACTCACAAGCTTTTAATTCTTGGGACACAAAACTTACTGAGTTACATATCCAGCAACTTCAGCCCTCACTAACTGGAATATATGGCAGAGAAATGCACCATCAAAATGGTTCAAAATATACGGTTCAAATGGTTCAAAAATGGTTCAATATGTTAAAAATCACTGTTTTTGAACATGCACGGAAAACAGGGCACTGAGCTGGTATCCCTGTTTATTGGTTTACTCAAAAAATAAAGAGGATTTTGCAGGGCTACTGCAGGGTTTGAGCTTTTGCTCTGTTATTCACTGATTTCAGTGCAAATAAAGAGCAGGGAGTTACAAAGGACAGCTCTGTTGGAACCCCAACTCCAGCACAGCTTTTTTTCTGGAAGCTTTACATCTCCTTTTTTTCCATATTAAAACAAACCCTGAGATACAGACAATAAAGCCTCTCTCCCACCAAGCATCCATAAACAAAACCTGTATCAGGACAGTGTTTAGTTACTCTTTGTGGTTTATGGACCTGAATCTTTGAATGAGACTGAAATTGGATTTACCTGGGGTGAGACAGAGAAGGAAAACCTGATGGGAACTGCATGAGCTTTGCCTCTTTTGGAAATCCAGGCTACAGCACAATAAAATTCGCTTGTTTCCATTTATGTTAATTATGAAACAAGCCAGTGTGGAATTGGTTTCCTCATTGTATTGTTATATGGCAAAAATGTAAAAACAGAGCATCCACAGAACATGCAATTCAGAAAAACAAAACTTGGCACCAAGAAACTGGAAATTATTTCCCTTTAGGAACCTAACACAGATCTCAGTAACTGCTACAAGAGGCATTTTCTGCTTCAGCAATCTTCAGTGGGTCCTTCTGGCTGTCATCATTAGGCCTGATTTAAGGAGTACAACACACCCCAATGTGCTGATACCTCTGCACAAACCCCTGTCCATAAAAAACCCTTTTCCTCACTCAGTCTTCCAGTACCTGCTTCACAGGACGAAGGGAGCCAATCACTTTCCAGCCACTGTGTTCACTCCAGTTTGAAATCTCCCTGGGCTCCAGCAGAATCTGCTTGCCTAAAAAATTGCATCCCTCGTAGGCAATCCACCTGGACACACAAAACAGAACGTGAAAGAGCACTTGTTATCCACAGCAAAACTAAACTGGGCTCTTGGAAGCCCCAAAGCTCTCCACAGTGATGCCTCTCTTTGTGTGCTGCAAAATGCCATCCATTTCAGTGGGATGACTGCTTTCTGTTGAAATTCAGACCTGTTTTCTGTCTGTCTGCCTAAAATTTATAAACTACACTTCCCATCTCCCCTTTCCCCCTCCATTTTTCCCCCCACAAAAAGGAGAACTTCTGCATGAGCCCAGATGGGAATAATGCTGGTTTCAGCAGGCCTGTGTTAGGAAACTAGGGAGCCACTAGGAAACCTGCAGCTTTGCCTGGTTGTGCATATTAATTATGAGAGGATCTCATAATTTTTTGTTACAGTTAAAGCTTTTTATACAGTTCCACTTGTCTGAAAACACATTACAGGTATTCACTCCAAACCCCACAGCCTGCTGCAGCAGATTTTCCTGTCATGAATACACCATGGACGTGGCTGAGTCCTGTAACACCCAGTTAAAGCAGTGGCTCATACAGACCCCTTGTTATCTGGGCATCTGCTCAGTGAATGCTGCTCACAAAGGCAGCCTCAGGAGCACAGATCCCTTCTGTTTGTATCAATAGCACATTGCTGTGTGGACAGGGACTCCTGAATGCCTGACTCATTAACTCCTCTGAGCACAAAGCAAGGGCTGGTTTCCCAGGTTACCTGTTGCACAGGTCAGCTGCCAGGAGCATGAGGGATGGCTGTGCTCTGAGTCACTGAGAAAACACCCACAGCCTCACAGCCCCTGGAACTGCTTTTGCCCAGTGCCCACAGCTCAGAGAAACTGAGAGCCAGAGCTGCTCAGGGCTCCATGGAGGCTCAACTGTGCCAGCTGAGAGTTGCCTGGCAATGAGGCTGGGTCCCTGTTTCTTCAAACCAAGTCCACACCTCCTGACTAACAGGTATTTAGGGCAGCCTGTGCACTCCTGTGTCTTCCTTATACTCTGAACACATTCCTGGCTTTTTTTCCCCTTGCAATGGTTTCTGTCAAGTCACTGAGAATTCACTGTTAACATTACTCTTGGAGCATGAACAGTCTCCTGTGGAACACAGTTCCAAAGCAGACATTTACAGGGAACAGAGGGGAAAGACTTACAGTGATCACCCTCTGAATCCAGGTTGGCCTCCTGGCATTCAGTGACACAGGCAAACCCCATCTCTGCTCTCACACAGGCTGTGCCACCTCTCCCACACCTCAGAGAGCCCCAGCACCCTTTGCCAGGGCAGATTCCAGGTTTGTGCCTTGCTGAGGTGGCCAGTTGGTGCAGGAAGGAGCCTTTTACCTAAGCCTGGCAGCAGGATGCCATAGGAGCATTTACATAAATCTTTGCTATTTGCCCAAAGCTGACAGCAGGCTTTGGGACCAGGAGCCAAAAAAGCCTCTAAACCTGCCTTCCTGAACTCTGAATCCCAGATAAGGCAAGCAAACCCTCTAGAACATCCCACAATCACCTGACACCCTCTGCCTTTATGCTACCTGTGTGCTGTGTGGGATGGGGACAGGCTGTGGAAGTCTCCTGTGAACTGTTAAATACACTGATATACTTTACTTAACAGGTGTGGTGTTCTGTGGCTAACAGAGCACACGGTGCAATGAAAATGACACAGCTAAACCATGGAAAATCAACACTAAAAATCAACACACCAAAAATCTCTTGCACAGTTCAACTCAGCTCAGACTTCCCCCTCAGTGATTTTTACTTTGCTTTCAGTGAAGCTGTGCAACACAATTTTTCACAATTCAGAACAGATTTTTCTGCTTCACCAGTTCAGGGAAAATCCCACAATAGAAGCATGGAGTGTTTGAGATTAAACAAGGATCAGTGCAAGATGAGCTTCCTCAGTAGTGTACAGGCACAAAGAAGATGACCAGAGGGCACTAGAACTGAAACCCAAGTGCACAGGTGAATTTGCACACATGCTAAGAGCAAAAAGCATAGTTTTAGCTATGGATTATTCTTCTATTATGAAAGTTGTGAGAATTTTTACTAATAAAGCCCTTTTGAAAAGGGCTCATCCCTTTTCAAAAAAACATATTTTCCCTAACACTTTTTTTTTTTGCCAACTTAGGTTTTGCAAACTTTGATTTAGGGAAAGCCTAAGAAAGGCAAAGGGAGAAAGGCAAAGGGCCAGAGCAAAGGCTGAGTGTAACCCAGCTATAACAAGGGATGGTGCAGTGGCCATTGGTGCTGAGCTGCTGCTTTGCAAAGAGCATTGACCAGAGTCTGAAGTGGGGGAGCCTCCAGAGCTGTGTTACACCATCCTTGGGAAAATCTTTACTCTCTTTCCTAGGAAGCATTGAAAAATCTCAGAGGAAACCCAGCCTTTCTGCCCTGAACTTATCCCAGAGACAGGGAGGCAGCTAACCTGGCTTGGACACCCAAAAAAGAGCAGAAAGATGCAGGAGGGGCTGGCCTCTTGCACTCACTCTCCTGTGCTTTCTCGTCACGGGGTCCCAAGGCCATCACCCTTCCTTCAGCCAACTGCTGGGCAAAGGGACTGAATTTCCAGACAACACACACTTCTGTATTTTCAGCAAAGGCTCAGGCTGGAAGTGGCACAAATGTTGGGAATTGCTGTGAACTGGCAAAGCTCTGTTTGGGAAGCTTATGTTCACTATTCTCTCAAGAAAATTACAGCCTTGCCCATGTGGAAAAGGTGGGGAAAGGTCAAACATAAACATAGGAAATGTGTGTCCCATTAGGAGAACAGCAATTTCCAGCCACTCTCAGTTGCAAGTTATTTGTTGCTGCTGTGGGTGTGGAGGCTGAAAACCTGGCTGAAAACAGAACACTTGGGAGCTCTTCCAAAAGGTGAAAGGGAGAGACATGGAAGAGGTTAGAAGGTCACTGCTGCAGATGTAAAATGTTTTCACAGAAGAACCTGGGTGTACATTCACACTCCTGGAGAAGGGTTAAACTAATAACAGAAGCAAATAACTGTTCCAGCTGTCAGATCCACTCAGAGCTCCCCTCAGGAGCTGCTGCTTCTCTGGCAGCCAGTCAGCACATCAAGCTTCCCTGAGCCACTGCAGTAGTTTAAATCACTGCAGTTCATAGCTGGCATTTTACAGCCTGTTAATAAAGGCACTCCAAGTTTACACTACCTGCCTTGTAAAGTCTGTGCCTCAGAATAGAAGTTAAGAATGTAAACCATCCTATGAACAAGGCAATAATCATGAGACAACGTTAGCTCCTACAGTGCAAAACTGACAGGGATATTTCTTCCATACTTACAATCCACTTCTCACCCACACAGACTGGGTGTAAAAATGAAGGTCCTCGTTCAGAACAGAATTGACTGCTTCACTGAAGTGCAGCTCTCTGCCCTTGCAGCATTCCAGGCTGAACAGGCTGATGGAAGGCTCAGCAAAAACCTGGGGCAGGAGGAAGGAGGAAAAAAAAGTGCAGAGTTTTAGTGGGAATAGTACAACTTCAGTGGTAGATATGATGCCTGCTGGCCCATTTCAGTTGAATTTCCTACAATGCTTTTGGGTTAGTTTGTGCTCCCTCAGCAAATGGAACAACAAGGGAAAACCCCACAGCACACAGAGCTGAAACAAACTGCATTTATCAGTGGCTTTGTCATCAGTGTAGTGCCCTAGTGACACAGGCCAGGCACAGAGTCACCAAGTGATCAGAGGCCTCTGCTTAGAAAAACTCATTTTGATCCGATTTGTATCATTAGGGCCTTGATTGCTTTTTAAAAATCCACTTTATGTACTTATGGATGGAACATGCATCTAAAATAGTGAGTCAAATCAAAGTCTACTGTCCACAGACTTCAATTAGCTGTAGTTTACTGCAAACATTTCAAGTAGCTACAAATTGTAAAAGGTCAGAAATGTCAACTAAAAGGTTCTCAATGTTTTTAACAGATATTCCTATTTTTTCTGTCAATCTTGAGAGAGCATAAGAAGTCAATTCTATACTCTCATGTAGAATTGAAACATTTTTCACTTAATGCCCTTTTCTACGGCTGAAAGCAAATAAAAAGATCAGTTTGCATAAAAATGTGGTGCAGCTATAAGACCAGCAGAAACACAGAGGACGCAGATTTAAATACACAAATTCTATGCCTTAGTACAAGGAACACTTGCACAATGCTTCAGGATTTTTAACCTAAAACCAGAAGTAAAAGTACTTGCAGTTTACACCTGGAAAGGAAGAGGGAACAGGTCTGACTAACTCAGTGAGCTGCCTCTCCAGGAAAGGCACCTTCTTTTAGGAGATGTTACCCTGAGATAGCTGGCTCAGGCAAAATCTGGGATTTCTCTTGCAGCAAAGACATGGCCTCAAGGTGAAATAAATGAAACAAAGTCTTGAATTAAAATTTACACAGGCACTGAGCAATTAAGGGAAATTAATTTTCATGTTTGAAGAGGCACATGGAGTGTAGGGAACTGTCTCTGAAAAGCTCAGGGGTGTGTCAGGACATATGAATGTGCTTGACACTGACTCAGTGCAGTTGGTATGCAGCTGGTTGGTCAGATTCTGCCTTCCTCTGCCAGCCAGTGCAGGGACAGCCCCAGTCATGCAACACTGCAGGGACAGAGAGCTCACCGAGACATTCTGAGGAAGAGCTTGGGATCATCCACTCAGAGAGATTTTTAAACCCTACTGTGCTCCCAAAATCTAATGTTACACACCAGAAAGGGACCAAAACCTGTAAGGTTATTTTGGAATGTCAGCTCTTCCCAAGTGCCCTCTGCTGGATGGGGTGGATCAGATTTACAGTGGGAGGCTAAAGGCTCACTTTGAAAGCCAGAGCAGCAGGCCTAGAGCAGGCAGCTACTCCTGGGGTTGCTTTGCTCAGCCAGGCACAATCATCACACTCCTGCTTGCAAGAGCCCTGGCACTGCCTTTCACCTGAGTGGACACCAGAAGTCATGTCCAGAACAGGCCCAACAATTTTCACAAGTGCATTGCTGACCATGAGAAACACCATTTATGGTGCTGGACATTACTGCCCAAACCTAAATATTGATCCTGCTGTTGCAACACTGAGGATGTTAAGAGACAAGGCTGCTGTACCAGATGGACAAGTCACCTGAGCCAGGATATCCATTTATACACCAGGAACCACAACAGCAAACTGCTGGAGTCAATTAAAATGATTCCAGCTCTGCTGTGGTTGTGACTGTTTGGACTGAGAGCTCTGAGAACTCCCTGTCCAGCTGCTCAGAGTCCCTGACACACACGCCAGTGATGGCTCTGATCCCTCTGTCCCAGGGGGATCTCAGCAGAGATGAAGTCCAGAAAGAAACCAGGCTGCTGTGCCAAGCCCTGAGCTCTCCTGCTCCACAGCCATATATAGAGCACTGCACTGATTCCTCACCTTCTGCATTCCCTCTGGGCCAACAGCTGGCAGCAGTGACTTTGGCCTGGCTTTTTTCTCTGACTTTGTTTTCACAGCTCCATGGAAACTGGGAACAGTGAAAAACAAGGTTTGGGGCTATGCTGTTAGGCTGGGAAGCATCTTGTTCCCAGCCTTTCTTGCAGAATGCTGAGGAACATTTTCACCTGAAAGGTGAGACAAAGACATCTATATTTACCCATTCCCATGTCTAGGTCAGCATTACTTTAGCTTCTTTTCAGTTATTTCAAGGAAAATACCTGAAATGCCATGCTTTGGGAAAAGCTTGCCAACTGTGAGAATAACAAACCACTACAGAATTTCTTAACATCAAATTTCTTGACAGTTTTTATGTACAAAGGAACTGACTGCCTTTGCTTAAACCAGCACCAATAACATTTGAAGAGGTTTTGATTGTTCTGATTTTTCATGCAACTGTCCAGAGGGAAACTTGAAGGGATTTATTGTATTCAAGAGGCCAGTGATTAAGGAAAACTATATTTACACAGCATTTCAAGATATGAGCAGCCTTGTGAACTGTTAAATACACTGATATACTTTACTTAACAGGTGTGGTGTTCTGTGGCTAACAGAGCACATGGTGCAATGAAAATGACACAGCTAAACCAGGGAAAATCAACACTAAAAATCAACACACCAAAAATCTCTTGCACAGTTCAACTCAGCTCAGACTTCCCCCTCAGTGACTTTTACTTTGCTTTCAGTGAAGCTGTGCAACACAATTTTTTACAATTCAGAAGAGATTTTTATGCTTCATCAGTTCAGGGAAAATCCCACAATAGAAGCATGAAGTGTTTGAGATGAAACAAGGATCAGTGCAAGATGAGCTTCCTCAGTAGTGTACAGACACAAAGAAGATGACCAGAGGGCACTAGAACTGAAACCCAAGTGCACAGGTGAATTTGCACACATGCTTAGAGCAAAAAGCATAGTTTTAGCTATGGATAATTTTTCCATTAGAAAAGTTGTGAGAATTTTTACTAATAAAGCCCTTTTGAAAAGGGCTCATCCCTTTTCAAAAAAACATATTTTCCCTTACACTTTTTTTTTTTTGCCAACTTAGGTTTTGCAAACTTTGATTTAGGGAAAGCCTAAGAAAGGCAAAGGGAGAAAGGGAAAGGGCCAGAGCAAAGGCCAGAGCAAATAACCCAGCTATAACAAGGGATGGTGCAGTGGCCATTGGTGCTGAGCTGCTGCTTTGCAAAGAGCATTGACCAGAGTCTGAAGTGGGGGAGGCTCCAGAGCTGTGTTACACCATCCTTGGGAAAATCTTTACTCTCCAGGCTTGGCCAGATCCTCACTCATAAGTGCCTTTGCCGGAGCTGCTCCTGCCTGGCTGCTCCCTCCAGTGTGGGATGGGTGCCTGGAGAATGCAATGTCCATGGTCCACTCCCAGCCACACAGAGTGACTCAGTGCCTGGCCCTGGGAAACTGCAGGTAGTTCTTGTATCTGATTTCTTTTTTTGCCTCACAGGAATGCTGGGGAGATTAGTTAACACCTGTATTTAACTTAGAGAAGATAATATAGAAATACAAGGATTATCACGATTGATCAGAGCAAGAATAAATGCCTCAGAAGAAAAGAGGAAAAAACCCCAACCAAACAAAAAAAAGCATTGCACAACCTACAAACTGGATCTCATTATTTTGCTTCAGAAACTAGGAGACTATTAATTTACAGGTTGAAGGTAACACTTTAGAAGGAAAGTCAATTGCTCATTGCAAGCATCCTGGGCATTGCTGTCGATGTAAATCACACCAAATATGACAGGGAGTTTGTCAAAACAACACATGTGAGAAAAGACAGCACCAGAGCTGACTCCCCATTGCAAGATTATCTATCCCAAAAGATTAACCTCCTCAAGCAGCAAACACTGGACAAATGCCCCAATAAGCAACCATGGCCCAGCTGCCTCCATCTTCTCTCTTGCAGCTGGGCAAGGGCCCACATTTCCTTTCCATGAATCCATAGCAGTGCAAAAAGCAAGTTTTTGCTGATGCAGGCACAGAAACCTGCATCTCTGCAGCAGCCCTGAACCTGTGCTAGGCTTTGACCTGCCTGCAGGAGGGCTGTTAACAACAATACAACAGCACATTTCATCAACAAGCTTTGCTGGAAGAGTGCTTTGGGATTTTTAGATGAAAGGAGATGATGAGAGGCAAATGGCATCAGTGTCAGTTGTTCCTTCTTTGTACCCTCCTGTTACTCCACAGCTTTCCCTAAATGCTCTAAGGATGATGAAACAGTCCAACCTGTATTTGAGCAAAATGGAACAGCAGGAAAAAAGCACAGCTAGGGCCTCCTAAAGATTTGGTTTGAGTATTACACACTTTGGAAAATAAGGTGTCATGGGAGAGAGAAAACTTCAGGAACAGAGGGAATTGGTTGCAAAGATGTGCTGAATTCCTCCATGATGCCAGTGCACAATAAATGGGGAAATAACCAAAGTGGAACCATATTAACTTGAATTTCCTGTGAAATGTATGTGTAGAGGGTGTGAGAGCAGCATGCCATACTTAAAAATGTACTTAAATGCTGACAACCTCACTTTTCACCAGAAAACACATAAAACATCCCTCCAAGAGCTAAGAGCTAGAATAAAAATTAGCCAACCTAAAATACTGTCACTGCAGTGAAATCATCTAAGTATCACTACTGTGAGCGCATTTTCTTATCCAAATAATTCTGCGCTGCTTCTAAAGTTTTGGGGTTTTTTTTCTGATTTTGTTGGATCAACTCAGAGATTTAGAAGGAAAATTTTCATTTTGTTATGCAACTAAGCTCTTAAATTACATTTTTGGAAGTTTTCAAACTAAAAATCAAAAGTTTACTTTCCTAAATAGAAAAAAAAACCCAACTCTTTTTTTTCATTTAGTGCAGTTATTATATCTGTTTGCGAATAGTTTGTTCCCATCAAAGCTGCACTTTCTATAGAACAAATGGAATGTTCCCAGCGTGGGACTCCTGCACAGTTCCACTTGCAGCAATTACATCTCCCTGAAAGGAGAGCAGGGACAATGCACATCCAGGGCTTGGTGTCAGGGTTAAAAGTTCTCCTTCTCGCACATAAGCTACCAGGGGACACACCTTAGTTCTGAAATGAGGCTGGTATTCAAAGCTGAAGAATGGAAGGGGTTCCCAACACCACAGATGAATTCAATACAGCTACACAACAATCCCACTTGGGAACAGGCTTGCTCCTCTCTGGAATGAGCTCACAGAAATATGCTGTAATACAAGGGGCTCTGTTCCAAGAACTGTGGACAATGCTCAGAATTGACTGTGGCTGCTCCTGGCCGTGACCTGCTGCGTGCTCTGGGTCACGTCTGTGCCACACCAGGGTCCCCAGCACTGCCCTGGGGGCTCTGAGGACAAACAGGTAGAGATCAGTGGCATTTTATGCCTTGAATTTGTGAAATACAAGGGCTACTATTGGCAAGAGAAGAACCAAACTAAGAGGTGCAAAAGCAGAGGAAGATGGATGTGTGCGAGCTCCCCACACACAGCCTGCCAAACAAACTTCTTCCAGGGCCTGGCCCTTGGGAAACAAGGGCTGCCAGCAGTCTCCTACCATGCCAAACTTCATATTTGCTTCCCTGTGAGATTACAGGCAGGGGGATTGGGATGAGGCCTACTATTATCTGTTGTCAAAACTTCACTTGGATTTGGCACAGCAGAGTCCAAAAGCCTAACTTGAAAAGGAGAACTTCAATCTAAAACCCAGGCTCTCAGCAGGTGGGAAGTCTCTGTATCTGTACAGTCTAGTGAAAAGTCCAGCTCTCAAATTTGAGTTGTACATCCTTCCCACCACACCCATGGGTTTGGCATTTGTATTTGCTTGGGGTTTGGGGGTTTTTGGGGGGCTTTTTCTCATTTGGTTGGTTGGGTTTTTTTGCTTTTCTTTTTAAAAGCTATTCACAAATGGTAAAAAGGACTTCATATGTGAAAAAGCTGAACTGAGTAATCCCACAAGTCTAGCTCCATAGGAGTTGCATTGAAGGACACACACCACATGAGCTGAGTTTTTGCCCTGTGATCAGGGAAGGAGGAAGAGTTCTGGAGAAGGTGGTGGCCAGTGCCAGAGAGAAGAGGGCAGAGAAGCCACTTGCTTCTCTTTTACCAAGTGTTTTACAGCTCATCTTTGATGCTCCTGCATAAGAGCAGATCAAGATGTGGAAGCAAGGCACAGACATCACATCAAGACTGCAGATTTGTATGTCCTGTGTGCAGGATTACAGTGGGATGTATAAAAGGTTGTATCTCTTGTTCTGGAGGGCAAAATGCATTCCTGTCCAACCCCCTGGCCATGCAGGATCTCGTGTCTCACTTGTAAAAAAGAAAACAACTTTAAACCCAGAACAGCCAAGAGCAGCTACAAGTGACCTCGTGCAAGTGTGCACACAACCCGATCTGTTCCCAGCCCAAAAAATCCCATGAGCCAAGAAAACAAACCTCACTCTTTTCCCTGACTGGGAGGTTGTTTAGGGCAAGTACTCACTTCATACATCTGACAGGGAAAAGAGCTCCGAAATGTTATTTTTTTTCCCCCAATAAAGTCTTACATATTGAATAGGCTTGAGGGATTTGATTGTAGCAGTTGGGCAGCCACAGGAACTGAGGTCAACATAGAGGCCTTCTTCCAGCACACAGTGATTGTCAGTGGTTTCCCCTTTGTAACACAGGAGCCAACTGCAAGAATAATGGAACAAAAACGATAAGCTGCTTATTTACAGCATGTTTTTTTCAAGATTAATACTTGCTGAGAACAAAAGGAATAAAAAATTCTCTTTGTTCTTGTCAAGCTTTAAGTAAAGTGACTTGAAAGGCTATGCAGCAAAATCAAATTGTGTGGTACAGAAACCTCAGTTCCAGAGTCAAACGACGCTGAATGGAATTCAGACACTTCCACTGTACCAAAGTTCTAAAAATCTGTAATAAATTCTAACTGGAGTTAAAAAAAGAGTCATGGTAGCTGTGCAAGCCTTCCCCAGGGAGAGCAAAATGCACACTACCCAAACCAAGGGCAGGATGAGAGTTACTGAGATGCTTTGCAGGACAAAGTGTCTAAGACATGATGGAAGATGATGGGCATGTGTTATGTGCTTTCTGCTGCCTGAAATTTTGTAACATTTGAAAAAAAAAATTCATAATACTGAAAATGATGGCATGTAAAACAACAAACACTTACCATCCCCGGAGAACCTTAAAAGAACATGGTATGAATGATGTAAAATCAGAAACTTCTGCTGTGAAATCTACACATGCTCCTTGGAAATGTGTATTACTGAAAGCTTTGAGCTACAAGAACAAAACAAAACAAAAACAATGACTAGAAGGAAAATGAATGCATTATCATTAATGTCAACAGAGAAAGCTGTACTCTCAGAGAAGTATCCATTCAATTCACAAAGATACAATTAACTGAATGAATTGTCATTCAAAGAATCTCTTACATTTTCTACACCTGCTTTATTTTTAGAAACATATCAAGTATTTTGTCATCTCTGGGCTGGCACAGGAGGCTTCCCAGTGGTGCTAAGGCAGGCAGAGTTATCAAGTGTAAGTTCAATTAAGTTCAACTGCAGCAGGAGAGGCACAAATAAGAAGAGTAGGACTCAAGGCTGTTATCATCCACTCAAAGTCCCCCTGAACTGCAGCTTAACTCTCACTACAGCTCAGCAATCCAGTGCTCAAAGCAGGATTGGGACATGCTGGTCAAAGATACAGAGCTGCTATTGACAAAAGTGCCCTGAAATCTTCTGTGATCACAGTGGTGGCAGGTGGCTTTTCATTTAAGAACAGGCAGGAGGATTTCTGGGGGAACTGGGGACCTCTGAGGTTCAGCCAAGCTGCTTTTGTATGTCATGGTAAAGCACTGCAAGTCACAGTGAACCACACCCCATCAGTAAGATGTGATCAGTTCATCCCTAAAAAGCAAGAAGGCTCAAAATGTTGCAGCAAAAGTAAAATAGAAAAAGCCAAACAAACAGACAAAAACCCCCAATCAACCTCCCAAAAAACCAACCTCCCCTAGACAAATAAACAAAAAGCCCAAATGAACAAACCCACCCCCCAAAAAAACCCCAAAACAAACCTAAACTAAAAAAAACACACACAAAAAAACCCTAAAGCCCCCACCAAAACAAAAAGAAACCCTGGTATGATGTAGACTATGATCTATAGCAAAGACACCCAGAATTCTGTACCCTCGGGCTGCCACTGTGTAAACTGAGATGAATTTCATTTGAAAGCCTGAAAGAGAGGCTGGAAAAGAATGAAAAATTGAAGTGTATCAAGAGAACAGCTCATATTCTGTAATGGAAGAAAAACACGATGGCTGTTGCAAGAGCTACTTCCCCCTTCATGCCCCAAATTGGCCAAGCTTCCTGCCAAAGAAAAGAAATCAAGTGCTTTTGCCAGCACAGAGTGAGAAGGCCAAACACAAGTGTCAGCAAATGATTTTATGGAAAAGTTCAGTCTATGTTTTTAAAAGAAATGAATGTTTCCTGTTAGAAAGAACAAGAAAGGCTTAAGCTGGCCTTGCAGGCTGTGAGCATTAATTGGAGAGCAAGGATCAGCTACAATAAAATGAATAAAGTGTAATTGACTTTTCTGTAAATACAACTGCACTGCTATGTCACAAAGCACCTATTTAAGCTGTAATTACACTGTATTTTCTACCCACTCCTCTCCAAGCTCTTTACAAAAGGGAATATATATACATACACACTGCCTTTCTTTCATAGGCCACGTGCTGTGCAAGGCTTTTAAAAAAGATTCACGAACTCATTTTAACACAGAATTTATCTAGTAATGAATGAGGGTGTTAATTTGACAGAAGTTGGGGTGGAGCAGTGATTCCTCAGTGCAAACACTGCAATTAGACTCCAACTGCAGCCATCTCCACTTTGTCAGGGTCTGACATTAATGTGTGAGGTTTTGCTTCCCAAAAAGCCAAAGGACAGAATATTAAAGTACAAATGCAGGGTTGCACAGCAATTATCTCTGTTTCCTACATCATCTCTGCAAGTCACCTGCTGTTGAAAGAGGCTTTGTTCTTGCTGAGCAAAGCTCTATTTTAATAAATGAAATGAATGGCTTTGCAGAGCTGGTGATTTCTTACACTCTGTGTGGTTGGTTTATTAGGAAGCTTGGCAGGCAGAAAAGGTCAGGGGAGTAATTCAGAGATGTAAGAAAATTTTGCTGCTTTTCAATTTCTGATAAGAACACAAATGAAAAAAAGACACACTCCTATAGACAGTGCAAACAGCTCCCTTAGTTCAGACATATGCTTATTAAAGGTGGGAGAAATGTATAATAATTCAAAATACCCAATATATGACTTACTCAAGGGTCAAACATCAGGATGTTTAGGGATTTGCAGCTCATATGCACCATTCTTAGAAGTTCCAAACTAAGAGACTGGTTTTCACATAGAAATATTTTATTTTACTCTGAATGTGAAATTCTTGATATTTATCTAAGGGCCTGTCTTTTACTTATCCTAAGTGATTAAATGTTTTCCCATTAAATATTACTCAAAATATCTCCCCTCCTCTAAGAACTGTAGTGATATGAAATATGTTCTTTCCTCCCTAGCCCCAAGGCAGAATCCTACGAAAACCAGGATTGTGGTAAGTCAGGATAATATTTTTTTCACAAATGTTGTTAAGACTGTTATTAAATACCACAAGAGGCAAAATACAATCCAGTACATGCCAATATTTAAAGGTGTCTGTGCATACACACACACACAGGTTCTTTCATGTTTCTGGAAATAAAAAAGCTTGTAAAGCACAACTTATTGAACTTCAATGGTTTGAACTGATCTTAAAGGTCTGCAACACTAGAATAATACACTCAAAGAATAGATTTTGGGAGATCCTGAAAAAGTATAAGGCTTTGAGATGAAAATAAAATTATCTTCAATGGTTTAGACCCCCCCAGTTTTATCTGAGTCAGTTATTTTATCTGGTATCATTTACCAAGGCCCTCTGGTGAGCATACTTGCAAGTCTTTGGATTTGGCTGCAAGCTGCCATGTGAATAGGCTGGGCAGGAAGTCAGTGTTTAGGGCTAAAATAATACACCAATTATGTCTTCAGACAGGAAATATTTCCTGTAGTCCTGGGTTAATCATAAAATGGTAGAACTGGAGAAAAAGGAGGGTGTGGTCCACCTGCTAAGTAACACAATGCACAACATTTCCCATCCAAGCAAGAAAGAGAGAAATTGTGTCCAGATGACAAAATACTTAAGTGTGCTGAAACAGAACCACAGAGCTCTAAAATATCTTTTGTCTGAAAATGTCATGTTTCTTGAAATAAATTTTCCCAAATTTGCTTAATTAAAAGCATGTCAGAGAGAGCAATAAAATCACTCAGATCGTCACCCATGCTAGCAGGACAGAAAAAGAGCAACCAAACAACTCATGCTGGATGAGGGAAGAGCCCTGCTGGGACAGAACATTGCAGGGAACACAGAGCACACACGGTGATGAACACTGAGCAGGGTTGTGTTTCAGAAAGATAATTCAAAGGTCCATTAATAGAATATAACCCTGTAAGGTAAGGACCAGAGTGTAAGACCCTAAACTAAATCATTTTTGAGACTCAGAGTGAATTATAGGGACTGCTTTCTCTTAGTAAGTTAACACCAAGTAGGACAGAACTTTCAGGGAAACTGTGAGAATATATCATAGATTTATCACAGATTTATCATGATCAGGGTGTGTCCAGTCAAGCTCTGATGTTACTGTAACAAAAAGGGAACCTTAAGTAGCAGATCTGCCTGCTTGGAAGAGGTTGGAAAGCAGAACTATCAGCATCTAAAATAAAAAACCCAACTTCCAGGTGTTGATGCATTTGCAGGTTTGAAATGTGCAGTTCAGTTTTCTGCAGTTTATATTTTCATCTTCACCTCACACATAAACACAGGAGTGACAAACTGGATGCAATGCAAAATAATGGAAAGAAAATCTGCCATAAAGAGAAGGATGACTGGATGGGATGGTGAGTTTCCAGAAACAAGAGGGACAGAAGAGGAAAATCAATAGCTATAGAGATCCAAAGTCACTCAAAAATATAGGACTGCTTGCATTTTTGGGGATAGAATACTAAAGGGTATGATTCAGAATAAAGCAAAGAGCAGAACGCTTATCAGACTTTTATCTATCTACCAGTTTCCTCCATCACTGATCTGCTGTATCAAGGTGACAATACTGAAGTATCACCAGAAATTACTGAGATATCACCTGAAGCAAGGCATTCAACATTAATTGTTAAGTGTTGTTTAGTACTAGAGACTGTTATGTAATGCCAACTTACCAAATGTGGAGGCTCATTTGTCCCAAGGGGCTCCTGCAACAATAAATACATATACACACATTAGAAAACCTCAACATTAATTACAATTCTAGGAGACATGCCAAGGTGCCTGAAATTTCCAAAGCAAGAACTCATGAGCAGAGGTAAGAAAAAACTTCCGAGGCTCTTGGCACAATTCTATTACCCAAATTCTGCCATGAGCTGCCTGTAAGCTCTCAATTACCTGCCTGATTGTTCAATGCCTTTCACACAGAGAACTTGGATCAGCATTAATTAGTTCCCATAATGTGCATGTTCCATGTAAATGTCTCTGCATTTACTTTTGAGGCTGTTTCTTGAAAAAAAAGAAAGAACTAAAACCAACAGAAGACACCCCTCTCAACACGTGCTCTTCAAAATAAGGTTAAGTATTCCTTTTGCATTCCTATAATTTATTACTTATTAATAATTTATTACTTATTATCATTTAATACTTATGGCTGTGGAATGTCTTTGTTTTGCATTAGGGTTTTGACAGTGCTGGCATTAATCTGCTTGGGTGAGTTGGCACTACCTTGGATTGAATAATGGATTAAAAATATTTCCTGTCTTTATTCACTGTATCTAGTACAAATATTTTTGCAGAAAAGTAAGGAAAAAACCCAACAGAATTCTATTATGTAGCAACACAGGCCAGATAAATTCTCAAGTATTTCTAAATACATTATCAATTACAATGTTTTAAGGCAAATTAATCTTTCCAGGCCAGGCTATTTTCTCCATCTATGCAGTCTGCCAAAGGGAAATTCTTCTTATGAAGTTTCCCTGATAATTTTCTCAAAAGACAAGAAAGATCTGCAGTGTCCATTTAAGTCTCCATCCTGAACAGACTCATTATGCCTTCCATGAGGGTCTTTAAATTGTTTCCAAGCAAACAGACAGGTTGTTATAATGTGGGCTCTCCTGTTTAATTATTATGGTAAACTCTGAACTCCAAAGGTCTCATTTCTTTTAAGGTTTTCTCTTAAAATCTGGTAACTCACCAACTTAACAGGTCGAATTGACATGATGGTTTTACTAGATCCTCCCCAGTCAAAGAAGCATTTGTATTTCCCTTTCTCCAGTACATATTGTTCTCCACAGAAATATTTCTGCTGATAAGCCACCCACCTAGAGAATGACACAAAAATTAAACTGAAAACATTGCATTTTTCTCAGTAGTTTGATGACATTAACAGCAAGTCAAGCACAACAGAATGTCCACCTGGCAGACAGTGCAACATTAAACCTGATGAGAGGCACAAAATTGTCACACACTTGATTTTCTGCTTTTCCCCACTTGGACAAACACAAGATTTTGGGTGTCTGCCTTCCCAGCAAATTCATTGTGAGATGATGCCCTGCTCAGAAATTCAGAGGAAACAGACTGAACTGATAACTTTTTGAATCTCTCTTAATTGAATCTTTGCCTGTTTGGCATCCCCCACACAGGGCTTTCTTGCAGCTTTTCCAGTTGGATTTAGGAAAAATGGTGCAAGAAGAAAGAGAAGTAACTGAGGAAGGCTTGATGAGATTAAGCAAAAGCCTACAATAGCTGGCAGCTCAAGCTTCTCCCAGCCTGCTTTCTCTCCTGCAATTTAAGAAGAAAGAAACTCCCAACTAGAGGGTCCTTCTATCCCTGCACAGTGGCAGAAGCAGATGGAGGCTGGTTAGAAAGACACCTCTAAATCACCCACTTTTGGTGGTGCATTCCTCTCCTACTCACCCACCACTGTTTTATTAGGGATATAACAGGACATGTCTTTACTCATTTTAATTCCATCATCCACTGACAAATCTGTTTGCTACTAATTTATCTAGTGTGGTTTTTTATAACCTCCTGGTGCTACCACAGTCCCTTCAGCGGCAAGTTCCAGAAACTCACTGCCTCTGGTGAGGAAAAGCTTTTTTCCTTCCACATCAAAATCTGCTTTAAAGCAATCTCCAGTTCTGTAAAGCATTTCCCCCAACTGTTGTCATGCAAGATTCTGTGAACTGCATTCATCTTGTCTTAGCACCTTCAGGATTTTGCAGCTCTCATTTGTATCACCCCTCTCTAAACTGAGTCTCAGCCTTTCATTCTTGCACCTAATCCTCATGAGACACTAATCACCCATCCCTACATAAGCAGTTCAGGTTCCTCACTTCACAGTTCCTGATCCCCATCACCATTAGGGTAGTTATGACAATATTAATACTGCATTTTAAAAATTACTACTAAATGTCTGAAACCCACATGATTTCACAGTGCTCTTTTCCCTTCATGTCTTTTATGTTTTAGTTTTTATAGTTCTATTAATTTTCAGTGCCAGCAGGCTAAATTTATTACACAGCACATCTCATCCTTTCTGGACAGGCTCTACCTATCCCAAAAATTATACCAGTTCTTAATATATCTAAAATATCTTCTCAGTATTACTGCCATGGAACAATGTGACTCTGGGTGATCATCAGAAACTTTTTCTATGAACAAGAACACTTAGATCCAAATCAAGATGTAGGCATGAGAGCTACAGAAAACTAAAATTATTATTTCCCTTCCACTCCCCCAAGGAAATGGAAACACTTTTCTCCTCCAAATATTTACCATGTGGAATATAATCTGTCAAGAGATGCACCCAAAGGTGCACAGAAATCTTTAACAGCTCCATGTATTTGAGCAGACTTACACTCCACTTTTCACAAGAATCGACCTCGTCTCAGGGCCAAATCCAGCCTGCTCCAAATCAGGGATTTCTTCATTGATGATGTCAAATGCTTTCCCATCTTCATCATCAGACTGGAAAAGTGCCACTGAAGACTCTATGAAATCCTAAGAGGCAGCACAGGAGTTAGAGGACAGTCACAGCTCAATGACTCTTCACAACATAAAGCATTTTGGGACAGAGTTGTAAGCAGAAAGGCAGCATTTTATAGACCTTGAAGGGACTTGGCTCCCTGGTGTGGATCTTTATGGGATGTTTTGGCATTGAAGCTCTGGAATAGCTTGAAGCCTGGCAATCTGGTATGGCCTTCAGGGCTTTGCACTGAAGAGGGGAAGAGCCTGCTGCCCCTGAGCACCATCCTTTCCTCTTTGAGGATGGCTCAGAGTGCAAAGATGCCCGTGTGGTAAGCAGAAGAGTTAAGAAGAAAAAAGTTTAGCACTGATCTTCCAAAAGCCTCACAAATAACTACTCCAAGCATCACCATGACTATATTTTTTTAATAAACTTCTCCTTCCTCATCCCTTTCCAGCAACATGGCAATAATTATGGAAAAGAAAAGCCTGGGCAAGATCACCTTGCCAGCACAAGGGGTTTGTACTTTTTGGTTACATCCACTATAGCTATAAATAAATCCTGCTTAACACTGTCACATTCTCTCTTACATAGCTGTGTGACACTGCTTTGTGCTTTCAGCCAGCTTAGCTTCTTGGCCAGATTACTTGCACAGCCTCAGATTATTTGAATTTGGGTTAGCAATTTTAACTTTTAACAGAAAGCAGGAACTCAATTTCAGTGTTTCTCAATCATTCAGCAGTGTTATAAATTGAATCTGAGTCCTGCAAACAAGAAAGAATTGCTGTCAAGCAAATAATGTGGTTGACAGAGAGTCATGAACATATGAGGACTCCACCATGGGTATTATTACATTAAACACTGAGAAAACAAAGATTTAGAAAAGATTTATCAAAAAACACCTAGAAATTAAGGCCAAAGCAAGCATGCAGCTAGATTAATTTGGCCAGGTGAACCTGATCAAACAGGCTCTTTGGAGGACACCATGTCTTTCTAAAGGACACAGTCACAATGACTAATGAAAACCAATTTTAGAATGAACACGATGTGGCTCAACTTCTCTACACTGTTTACAGGACAGTAAAAGGTGATGGAACAAATTCTGAAGTAAAACTGGTTCTCTTACTGTATTGACCACTTCCTTCCTTCATTTATTTAAACTGTTGAACTCTTGCAACTATTTCAGGTATTTACTAGAAATTAAAGTGCCAGGGCTGGAAGAATCATCATGAACAACTGCAGCTTCAGACTACATTTTAGGGGAAAAAAAAAAAAAAAGAAAGAACAACCAAACTAGTGCAGTATTAGTGCAAATGGAAATCAGCTACTCTTAAAAGTCCTAAAGCAAAACAATACCCAAAAAGTCACTTAGATCCAATCTACACATAATTTCCTTAACTAAGTTTAAAATACTGAAATATATCCACAGTTGTAATTAAATTTAAAACATCTTTCAAATTCAGCCATCATTCTTTTCTGCCTGAACTTCCACTACAACTTCTCTTCCAACAGGAAGCAACAGGAAAAATACTTTCTGAGAATGAATGAAAGAATCAGACCAAGGCAGATCATTCTAAACTTGAAAACATTAGTGGGAAAGCTCTGAAGGCAACATACTCAGAAACTTTGCTCTTTCACTGAGCCATGGGCAAACCCCAGCTTGAAATGCATTTGACACTGCAGAACAGAAGCAAATGCCACTGTCCCCCAAAGCAGCTCACAGTCCAGACTGCTGACTGCCCCCAGGAATGGGCTCTGCATTTGACTCAGGTGTGTTCAGCACAGATGCTGACAGGCACTGGCAGCAGCTGGAAAAAACCATCCCACAAGATCTTTTTATCTCTGCTTCCCAAACACCCCCTGAACCCCCACCAGCCCTTGAGAGTGCTCACTGCAGGATTATTCAAACCAGCCAAAAGCTGAGAGCCCTTACAGCGTGCCCACATTGAGCACATCCTCACCAGTGGCTGGGGAGGGGGATAACAACATCCCTGTGGATTCTGAGACCATTGCAGCCTTTACCTTCCCCTGACAGAATTCCTGAGCTCAGGGAGAAGAGCCAGGACATTTGCTGTGCAGTGAGGGGCCTCAAGCACACAGAGTTTGGATTTTTGCCCGGGTCCCCATGAAACTGAACGTTTGGTACTAAAATATTTTTAAAATCCTGACCTTAAGTATGATATACAAAGTCACAAAGGGAGCATATGGCCAGCCTGGGCACTGCCCTGTGTGCTGCACATTGCCCAGAGGGAGGTCAAGCCAAGCAACACAGTGCCAGGGCCATTACTCATTCCATTGGCAAGCAGCTGGTTGCCTTCAGTTATGCAACAAATTGAGGGGAATTACTCCTTTTCTCTTCTATTATCAATAGATAAATATTTGTACATATTGATAGGCCAAGTGGAATGATACATGTTGATATATGACTGTGAATGATATATGTTAATGACTTGAGCCTTCTGACTGTTTTAGGTGCAAGCTACATTAAATACATGACATGGAAGATCATTCTTGCTACTACCCACATGCATGATTTTAACTTGTATTTATGTCCTTTGCCAAGAGAAAAATCTAAAAAAGATCAATTTAAGTTGCTCAAGTATCCTATATACAGCTGGAAAAGAGAGGAAAACTAAGATTATTCAGTAATTGAATAGGATTCTGCAGATGCAAAATCCTATTGAGGTTTCTCAGTCTGAAGGAACTTCTTACCTATTTTTTTTCTCAGAAACCTAAAAGTAAATTATTTCGAGAAGGATATTTTTCTTGAATTCAATCCATTCTCTGATCTTTATTTTGATAGATTCTGTTTATAAATACAGCTTTTGCTAGGTGCCTGTCATGAAAAACAAACCTGCAAATTGTGAATTTAAGTATGGCCTTCTGGGGCTCACATTAACTTTTTATTAAAAAAAAAATACTGTTGAGACAGTGAGTTTGCTTTAAATCCCCATCTTCAATTTGCACAAAATTCCTGACTCAGGAATACCACATCTCCTCAGATGAGTAGATGAGTAATCTGAGTTTACAAAACTGGGTAATATCAGAGTGAACAATCTTAGTCTCAGAAGAACTTACTCTTTGCAGCTGTATTTAATGCTCACAGAGTTGCCATTAGAATTAAAAAAACTTCCAACGCTTATACAAACAAACAAAAAACCCAACCCAAAACAAAGGAAATTATAAAGCAGTTCTAAGCCCATGTTTCCCCATTGCTAAAAAGTCTAATTTTGCTTCCAATAGTAGTCTCTTACAAATAGTTTTTACTATTATTTCATCCTTGCCTCCTCTAAACACACTTTAGTAGCAGGGACTTTTTTACCATGATTATTTTTGCTGCCAAAATTTTCTGGCAGAAAAATCACAGACAGAGGGTAATGCTGTTTTAAGGCTTGCAACAGCTGCTGCATTGAAAAGCTATTTTTGTTTTAATCAAGAACTACTCTGTACACTCAGGCACGTTATGCTTTTAAGAAAATTCCATTTGAGAGATTCAAATAGCTTGAGGTGCAGGAGTGAGGCGCTTGGAAAATCTGGCAGGTAGACAAGGAATTCTGCATGATACAATTTTTGTATGAACTTCACAAAGACTGTTTAGAACCTGCTCCTTCCTTAGTGCATCTAGATTTCAGACAGTAGGAAAAGAATGAGGATGAACAAAAAAGATGGAATGCCCCAACCCAAGGCAGCTGTATCATTACAAAGAATAACCTTGCTTTTTATGGACAGAGCTGTGCATAATTTGTGAGAAATCCATGTGGGTACTTACAGCCTGAAGGAAGCGGAAGGAGAGCAGGGCACTGTCACTTCCCCCCCAGGAGCATCTGTCCTCATAATCCCCCTCCTCCAGCAAGAACTGATGGCCTTTGTAACGTTCCTTATCATAGGCAACCCATCTGTGGCAGCCCCACAACAAAAGAGAAGAACAAATCAGTAAAGGCGAAACAATTGCACACATGATTTTCTCTAACAAATAAAGGGAAAAGAGAACTCCCCAAAAACACTAAAATGAGTATCACAAACCCAGCCAATGAACAAAGCAATGCTTGTTTGGAATCACAACAGGCACCCATGAAGTGTTCTTTGTGGATCAAAATCCTGCCATGTGATTCTTTATCCAACAATAGCTGATTTATGTAATGCTTCTCCGTGTACCTCCTCTCAGCCAGCCACATTCCCAAGCAATATTTGGTACCACAGAGCCCAGGATGCAGCTAGATGCCAAAGCTTTCAGTGATAAAAACACAAGCAGTGGATCTCTTCAGTGTGCTAATAAATGGTGAGACCCTACCCTTGCTGGAGATGGTGACAAAATTAACAGATTTCGGCAGAACAAGATTTCGCCTGCTTATATTTATTTTTTTGCTGTAATCTAAAACTGTATACATATAAACAGACAAGCAAATTGAAGATATAAACCATATTGTATATGAAATATGTTTTAGCAGTAAACAAATAGAAATTTTCAAAATATTTTGAATAAATAGATAAGGCTCTGTTAAAAGAATGTGTTTCCATATCAACTTCAAATCTCTAACGGATGTCAATTTAAAAAAGCACTTTCCCCACCTTTTTTCTTGTCAGCATTTCTTTCATAAAGCTCCCTTATAAATATTAGAATTGCTGTACAAATTCTGTTGGCAGTGAAATTTGGCAGGCAGGGATAGCTTTACTTTTAGTACCATTTGGTTTACATTAATTCAGCTGTTTATGTTACCACAGCACTAAAAATAAAAGCTGCTACAACAGACAGAACAATGATTTTTAATAATCTGAGGCTTCCCAGATAGCTAAAACACAATGCACTTATGAATAGATAATCTGAGTATTAACAATTAAGTTAGTTTTGAATTTAGTGCTCATAAAATTCTGACAGCAGCCTGAAAGGATGTATGTTATTCCATCCTTATGCTGAAGTGGAAAACCCCTTATGAAACAAAAGCAAGATTTTCTGAAAATGTTTTATTACTGAAGTCTTTGGAAGAAGCAACCATCCTGCCTGCTCTCAGACAGTCCTGTCCTGTTGGGAAAGGGTGAAGGAACAGCATGAGGGGTTGGTGGCTGGTGCTGAGTTTACCTCAGAGCATCCACCCGTGACACAGGTGTGACACCGTCCTCTGTGTGTGTGACACAGGGAGGGGCAGGACAACACAGAATCCATCCAGTGCCTCAATTAATGAAAATAACAGCACATTCCCAATGCCAGATAACATGCAACAGCTGGCAGAGGAAAATCATTAAGACAATAAAACAGTTTGTAGGTTTCAGAGGTATTAAAATGTCAAACTGAAGACTGACCACACCTACCCAAGGCCATTTCAGCAAATTAGGTAGAGACTATCAGAAGTATAAATCAATACAAATTAAAGCTCTGTGTGAACAAAGTGGCCTAATTTATTGGCATTCAAATGGCAAACACTGACTTCACACCTTTCACACATTTAGCTGTGTAGGCTGATAACAAAAGAAATACACACTCCCTTGTTTTCAAAACATTTCACCTGTGCAAGACTCAAATCATCCCTTAGTTAGCACTTCTAAGCATTTAGTTATGCTTCTCTATTTTAAAATAAATAAATATAAAAGTGAAATATACTCACACTCCACCAATTACACGTAGTGATCCAATTTCCTGAAACTCCTCTTCACTACCAAACAGTGCTGGGACAGAAGTGACGTTTTCTGAAAACTCTTTGGACCATCCTCCAAAGTGGGTTTTCTCATATATTATTATCTAAAAAACATGATGTTGAGCTTAATCCTTCAAAAGAACACAAGAAGCCTCTCCCTGTACTTTACTGAAGTTATTTTCATGACTGCAGTTAACAGCCCCTTCAAGTTCCTTATCTGCTGAATCACACAGATCAGCTATTAACGATATTTGTATCTGTTGCAGCATTTATTAGAAAAACACCCAAGTCATGAGTGTATTTGTATAATTAAGTTACCTAAAGCATTAGTGTTTTTGTAGAAAAAGGAGCAATAGTTTTGGATCAGCTTTCAGCTCCTCAGATCACAGAAGGATCATGGTCTCACTCACAACTCTTGTACTGGAACAGGGGCTAGGATGGAAGGGATCTATTCCTGTTCTCTTCCTCCCTTCCCTCTCCTTTTCTTTTAAAACTCAGTATGTTAAATGGAAAAATCCCCCCCAATCCCTTTATCATTACAGTGACTAATGTGTCAAGTCAGAAAAACTCATTTTATAGCAAATTCACGCTTTCCTAGTAAGTGAAAAAACAAACTACTGGTACTTTTACACCTCATCAAACACTAAGTGAACTTGACAGCATTACGGAATTTTTCTTCAGCAGCAAGCACTGAATAGTTATCAAAGATCACACACTAAACAAAAGGAAAGCAGCTTGCATGAAGATTTCATATTCCCAATGTGTTTATATTTTATTCTGAATGCCCTCTGTGCTTACCTTGACATTCATTGGCATTTGCACCTTTAGTCCACCCTAAAAACAGATGAGAGGAAAATGAGTTATTTATATTAAACCTCAAGTTCCACTCTGACATGTGTTTTACAGTACCATCAGAGCATGAAGTCTTTGCAATTATATTCAGCACTTTCAATGCTGGCCATAGATTTCAAAAGGCCAGGGACAATATAAACCTGACCTACAAACAAAACAGTGCACTGACAAACCTCTTAGACTGCCAGCAATTTCAAAGTATCCCTTCATGGCCTAGAATTCTAAAGCAAATGTTTTTAAACTAATTGATGCTGACCAATTTTTAAAATTAACTTTTAAAGCTTTGTTGTATGCATTACAAATTTCTATAGCACGATGCTGCAACACTAGAAGAAAGAGAAAACAGCAGGAGAGAGAGAAAATAGAGTCTGACATATTTATGTTTATGGTCAAAGAGCAAATACAACAAATGCATCTCCTTTGGAAATGTGAGTGAATGATGGTCTGTGAGGGAATAAGAGACTGACCTCACTTCAGTGACCAAAGAGACAGCTATTAGGTCTTACTCCTTTATGGCTTTTAAACTGTCTCTCTGTAGGCCTGCTATGCACACAGTAAAATTTGTGTTATAGCCCTTCCCCTCTCTCTCACATGCAGATCCAAGTGCTGTCTGTCAACACAAAAAACAGCTGCACCTCCCCAGATTTGTGTGCAGAGAAATTCTGCTGGGTAATAAAGTCCTTATCTGGTCTTCCATCCCCAGTAGACCCTAACCAAAAAAATAAAATAAAAAACTTTAGAAGCGTTTTTTTTTGTTAATTAATTGGCGTTGGGTGCAATAAAATGAAGAGCCTTTCTGTCTTATTTGACCTCCTCTCAACAACAGGAGTTTCCCAGGAAGATGTTGGGGGGTGCAGAAGCCTGACAAGTCACAGTGACCACAGCAAGCACACCACGGAGGGTTAACCCAGAATGAACATCAGAGCCCAAGTTGAATTTAGGTCAAAACATCTGGGGAAGCAACAATAAAAAAAAAAGGAGGGCACACAGGGGATTATCAGGGAATTGTGAAGTCCTCACCATTCTTAAGGGATGCAGAGATTTTATATCTGCTGAAGGAATTTCAGGTGGTGAATCGCATTCTTCCAAAACTGTCATCTCTCCCTTGTAATTCAAGTCTGAATAAGCAAGCCATCTACAGTAAGGACAAATGACTCAATCAGTTCATCAATTACATTCCAAATACAAAGATCTTATTAAAATTATTTTCCTTTTTGTACTCATGAGAGATACATAATGTTTGAGATGGCACATCAAAACAAAGCTGTATTTAAATATGCTGGCAACATCACTGCTAGGAAGATCTCAGATACTTTTTCTTAGTCCAAGCTAAATATAAGAGAAGAAAATTACCAATTTGTTCACTCAAAAAAGCCACCTTGCTACTCCATGAGTATACAAAAAAAGCCAGTACTGAGGATGAGACGTTTGCATTGAATTTTATCTAAGATTACCACCTTATGAATTAAAAGGCTTCTTACATCAGTCCCATGCCATTTTTTCAGTGGAAGTTATTAAAGTTTGATTATTTACAGCAGTCCTTTGGAAAGCTATTGTAATTTTGATGTGAGGGTTAAAATTGTTGGGAGTCCTTCAGACTGTTCTAAATAATAAAAAAAAAAGCTGAATGTAGAAGCTGGACACAGGTTTAGGAGACCACACAAGGAATGGAGGAAGAGGCATGGGACATATGGAAAATTATTTTCTTAAAACTACCAAGTTTTGTCAAAACTAAGACAAGACTCTGTTTTTATGTCCTTCACCACCCCAAGCTTCACAGACTTACTGTGAGACAGTGGGAAAGAAGGCTTGGCTCACGTGGAAAGGCAAGACTCTTGTAATAGAAGAGCTACTGTCATTCTGCAATTACTTATGGGAAGAGCCACACAACTCCCCAGCTTCAGGAACTGTGATGTTTTGGCCCAGGGAACAACAGCCCATTCAGCTCAATATAGGAAGTTCTGGGCTGCCCAGGGGCCTGTGTCACACTGCATCACCTCCCTCCAGAATGTCAGGATCTGGCTGTAGCTTGAGAAATGCTTGGGTGATGTAACACTCATTTTCTGGTGCTCAGCTACAGTATTATGGTTGTAACAGGGTGGGTGACTCAGGAGAAGTATCTATTCTCTAATGAAATAAAAGCTAATTATAGCTGAGTTGCTTCCTTTATTTATAAAGCTACTCAAATATGGAATTACTGAAGACTTCTGCCAGCAACTAGGAAAAAATGCCTTCAAACTAGGAGCCCACAGAACACAATGCTGACATGCAGAGCCGGGAATATTAAATGTATGTTTACTGATTTCTGGAAAAACCCCACAAATATAGTTCATATTGCTGACTGATTTTCATCCCCTGATATTACTCTTCTACCTGCTAGCAAAATGCTGTTAAGAAGGTTCAGTACTCACACTCCTGATCTGACTCTTATATAAGGGTTTTTCTCAACATCCAGTTCTTCTAAATTGGCAGCTGCACCCTGTATGCAGATGGGAAGTCCTTCTGTAGTACCAGCTGCCAGGCAGAACTCCACCTCTGGAATGCCACAGTCCTGTGGAAACAAATCAAAGGGTAATGTTTATCCACACTTGCAGACTCTGCCCCCAAACATTCCCTTTTTTACCCCATCTTCTCACCCTTCTTCAGCCTTCATATGATGGAAGGTTTTTATTCTTCCTAAAATGAAGGCTGGAATTTTTAGGAAAGTCAAAGGAGGTAAATTTCCAGCTCCCACTAATTTTCAAAGAAGAAATTTATGGCTGTCAGGCTACTTGCATAAAGGCCAGTTTAAATATTCTCCAACCAAAGGACTGAACAGCATTATAAGACTGACTTCTTTTTTAAAAGGCAATGCTTCCATCACACACATGATGCATGTATTACCAAAAATCTTGCATGTATTACCAAATATCCACTACATTTCCACCTCCACCCCTCCATGACAATTAAGTTCTGTAATGCAGAATCCAACTACAGTATCAAGCCATATGAGTTCAATGTATCTGCAGCATTTTAGATGAAGAAGGAAAAAAAGATCAGTATTAAAAAACATCTATTCTGTTAAGTAGGCACTTTAGCAATTTTCCTGTTAGCACACAGGTAACAGGAAATTTCATTACTGGAGGTTTACTACTGAGAGATACCACGCTGGAGAACAAACCTGTTGACCACATGCTCCTCTCTAGAATTTGCAGGGATTTTATTGAGCCACCCTCATTTTGCAGTATTTATATAACATGCATTGCAAACACTTTCTTCCCCAGCACTCAAACACATCGTGAACCAAGGAGGATCTGCAAGTCCCTGCTTCAGCAGGGTGTTCAGGACCAGTGGAAGGCAGCTCACGTGTGCAGCTGGAAAACTTCACTTCTCAGCCATAACCTCCCAGAACACTTCCCCTTCTCCTCCTCACCCACAAGCCCATTTGCTTTAAAACAGAAGGCTTGAACAGCATACCAAGATTCCCAAAATCCTAACGTGGCTGGAGGAAGATGCCCCTTTCACATGTGCTAGAGCAGAGGGAGGAGTGGTGGTCTCTGAAGGTGCCCCCCAGGGAAGCACCTATTTCTGGATTTGGGGAGGACCTGGGAGGGGCACACCGTGACAGAGATCCTGCATGGACTGTGGTTTCTGAAAGGAGAAACACAAGAGCTTGCAGGGAAACCCAGCAACAGGGCACAAAAGCCCTGGAAGCTAGAGCACCTCATCTCGTGACAGCACCTGCAGCGCTCTCCTTTTGCACATGGGTTTTTAGAGGAGTTTTCATGGGGTAACTTCCCACTTCTTGGTTCACAGTATTTTTTAATTAGCTATTGAACTGTCAGCACTAACTGTGGCAATTAGAATGGATGCACTTCAGGATATTGTTTCACTTTCCTCCTGAGACCTGAGGTAACACAGTAATACTGCCTTGGCAACTCTCCCTCCTGCACAGTCACGTTTCCTCTGTATTGTACCTTACAAACAATGCTCACTCTCTGTTTTTAGAGCAGAAACTGCAACACTGGAATTTTTGTTTTCAGATTAACAAACCCAGAAAAACCAGGAAAAAAGACTTTCTAGTACAATGCTGTTTTATGGGAACATGCTAATGGAGTTCCTCAATTCTAAGTGCATTGCTAGACAAGATTTAAAAAAAAATAAAATCTCCCAATAGTTCTCACACATATATGTATCTTATTAAATCAAAGTTGTGAAACATTTGAAGTCTGTGGGTTTTTTTTCTAAAAATATCTGATATGTAAGAAGGCTAAAATTCATAAATTCAGTAATAAAGCTTGATCCGGAAAATTGGAAGTTGCACCTAGAAGAATTCCACAAATAATGATGCCAGACTCCTAATGGCTTCAGATAAATTCTGAAACTAAGTATCTACAAGACTAGACAAGTAGCAAAATAAAAGTATCTGCCTGAGGGCTCAGACAGAATAGGAGATGGAATATGCTTAATTTTAATTCAGTAGGAGGCTTTTGTTTTTGTTTTTCATTTAAGATTGGAAAAAGGCAGTCTGTAAGCTCTTTTCAAGTCTGCTCTCCTGACTCTGAAGCTCATGAGGCAGTCTCCAGCTCAAGAGATGACAAATGTACCAGGGGAGGTAGAGCACAAACACTCATATTAAATTAAGTCTCTCCTATTTATCACCATCTCTATCCAGCCAGATTTGAAAGCAATAAAAAACCTCTACTCATAGTGATTGTATTTTTGTGCGTGTTCTAGATTAAGTCCACAAATTTCGTTCATAAAGTGCCACACAATAAACTGAGTTTTTCATCAAAACCAATTCAAATATTTATTTTTAAAGGTGGTAACATGGTCGAGCAAGAAGTACATCATATTTTCTAAGCACATTTTTTTAAAGTCACTAATACACATTTTGACTTAAATATGGAGTTCAATTTACCTGTACTGATGCACAGACTGCAGAGAATGGTAACATTTATTATTACTGTATGAGATGAACGCTATATATTTGCAGATGTACACTCTGTGCCATGCAATTAATCTATACAATTAAAGCATGAAAATTTAGCTTGGCAAATATTGGCCCCAGCATGTTCATATTTGCCTGGGCATATTTAACAGCCCTCATAACTTTCAGAGGCTCCTTCAACATTCCCAATGAAGCCACCATCTTTAGAAACAAAATGAAAACCACACAAATATGACAGCAGTCAGGTGGAGATCCTTCAGTCTAAAGCCCAGCCACCTGCAAGGCGTCAAGATTTGGAAATAAGATACACACACACAGACGTGCACAATTATTATCATGCAAAACTGCTACCACAGTATTCCAGCCCAGATCCCAAACTGGAAGGTTTCCTCACTAAACCCACCCCCTAAACTGTGCCACCCTCCATCACAAGCAGTCCAAACTCAGAGCATTCACTGTCCTACAGACACATCAGGCAAAACCAGAATCAAAAGGAGGGCAAACACATTAGGCAGCTGTGCTCATTTCCAGTGATAACACACAACCAGCAAATGCTTAGGTAGATCACAGCCTCCAGGCATCCCTCTCTGCCTGCCTTACTCTGTGGTATCCTCCTCCTGCCTCCACGCAGTCATCCTGGAATGCCTGTGCTTCCCTCGTGGTCTTTAGGGAGCTGGGATGTTTACAAAGCAGTGGAACACTTACAGACACCTCCAGAAGAGTAACATGGCCCTCAGCAAAAAGGGGAAAGCTCCTTCTGAAGAGGATTAACACAACCCTTAAGCCTTTAGCACTAAATATTCCTCTTCAGTAGCAAGCATCGCTGACATTTTTCTAGCCTGACCAAGAGGTCCAGCAGAAGTGAGAGACCTAAAGCCTTTGACCCCCTCAAGGTTGTTTATTCTTCTTCTGGGTCTAGGATTACAGCCCTAACAGCTCCAGCAGGGCTAAATAAACTTAGCACTGTTGAGTCTTCTCCTTGGATCTGCCAGCTGTGGTGATCAAATTAGCCTGTTTAACTGGGGTAGTTTTGTGTCAACAGCAGGACAAAGAATGACTGAAGTCTGGCTTCTTAAAGGAAATGCCAAAACAAGGATGAGAGAAGAGTCTATTGAAAACCAGGTCTAATTAGTTCTGGTATTAACATGATTGCTTTGTAATGTCTAGACACCATTTTACTTTAGATACACATTTTGTCTTTAGGATGCTATCTGCTTCTGGAGGTTTTTTTGGTTGGGTTTTTTTCTTTTTTTGGACCTGTTGGTCCTCCAGGCTTTTTTACCCATTTGTAATTCTTGCTCCCAGTGCTCCAGCACTGTACCACTCTTGCTACCACTCACCACCACCAAACCCAGCTACAGAACTCAGCAGGGGTGGCAAATAAAATCATACAAAGGAAATAAATTATTACTGTCCTGTAAAGAACCAGCCAGCAAATGAGACCATCTGAAGCTGCTGAGTGTCTTCCTATGGCATCTGACAAAGTCCCTGCTTAAATTATTAGCTTCTTTTCACCTGGCAAACCACACAACAAAAGAAACACACCCTTCATGTAATAGTGTGAACAATCCCATTACAAAGAGCTTTGCTTAAGGAGACTCCACAAGGAACCCAGGTAATCCCTGCCTAACCATCTTGCAGACAGTGTTTATAAATTGCTGTTTCAGATCCCTTGTCACCTTGCAAAACAGTGGTTCACAAGACTATTCCAGAATGGAGGTGTCAGGAACTCTTCTTGGCTCTTATTTTTGCACTCTCTTTGGGTTTCCAGAAACAGATAGGAAAAAAGCCCAACGTGCAGAAAAAGTCAAAATAAGTATTTACAGTAGGCTAGAGAAATGACCTGGCTAAACAGACTGTGCTGCAGGAGCTGCACTGAACCTGGGTGTGCAGGCAGACTTTGCTGGCCTTGGCTTGTGTCATAGAGGAAATCAATCTCCACATCATTTCAGACAGGTCTTCATTTTACTGGTTGCACAATCTGTTTCTTTGGAATCTCTTTCCCACAATTTTCTTGAAATTAAATACACATGGATACACCTAAGGCATATCCATGGTGAGCCAGGCCACAAGCTAACCAAAAAGTTAACAGAACTTCTGCTTTTTGGGGAGGCTTGAAGCCAAATCAAGAGCACAAGGCTACTGGCAGACTGTTCTTCAGACAATATGCTAGTAAAAAAAAAAATTAAATGTACCTCCTACAGTTTCCTTAGTAAAAAACTGTTTCGCCTCTTCTTGGCAAGCTGTTTTCTTCTCAAATATTTAGTCAATGTTCAAATCTGTTAACTCACAGCAACTGAGCAGCCATTAAAAAAAGTACTTGAAAAATTGGAAGACAAGTCAGACAACATGGACATGGAGCCAGTATGGCCAAACTACCCTGGAGAAAAGACATTGACAGCCTATGAAAAAGAAATGGCAGTAAAACACACACGAGCTCCCTGAAAAAGAATCCACTATTTGTCAAATAAAACAAAGCCTATATTTTCCACAAAAATAAATAAATAAGATAGCACTTTGGGAAACTACCTTCCAAAAGCAGTTCCAGAGCAGCTAAAAAACAACCTATAAAAGTAGAGATGCCTTCATGAATCAAGGTGTAGAGGACAAAACCTGGCTGGTGAGGGCACTAAACTTACCAACCATACCTGCCAGAGGTTTAATTTACACGAGGAAAGTGTTGATTACTGAACTAGTGTAAAGTAGCAAAGCTTTCCATCTGTGTTCTACATAAATGAACCACAGACTGGAAGAAGAACAAAACTCAAAGCTATTTAGCTGCAAAGGTTTTTATCAAGCACGATGAAGTTAAACAAGTATCTTTCCTATCCAAGAGTCTTCTTTCATAGCCAAGAGCCACCCAGTTTCCCTTATTGGCTGTTATTGTGGAATACCTTCATTTATTTAGTTGTCTTCCACCTTATTGATCAACATCCCTATTGCATATTGATCAAAGGTTTTTAATATGTTTAGCTCAAATAATGTTAACTTAATTATTCTTGCCTTCAGTCAGCCTTTTTTGAACGAATTAATTTTTAAGTTTTTTCAGAGAATGAAAAAGTATTTCTAATTGTTATGACATTATGCCCCTGTACTGATGACAAAAAGGTTATCAATTTTAAAATGACCTCTATACCAACAGAAAACAGAGAAACCACTTTACTGGAAATCTTTCACATTGTGATACAAATGATAATGCAGTCACAGCAAGGGCCACTGCCCTGTGAGCAACTGGAATGTTACACTGAACAATGAGACCACTAAGTCTTCTTAAATCACAAGATCTGGAAAATATATTCCTCATTCACTGAATAACAATGGATGCATTATATTTAGTTTTAGACATTTGATTCTTATCTTTTCAGCAAAAAGCCTTCTAAACTGAAGGCTGCAGGCAGAGCTATATGCTGTAGGTGTGCTGCTGGTCTGAGTGGAGATGCTACAGATGGCACAAAAGCTGCAGAGGGAATGGCAGAAGTTTTTGGAGGCTACACTGTACAAACAGGATTGGAAACCCAACTACTACTGAAGCAGAAGCCATACAGACACAGCAGACAGCTTAAGATAAAAACTTCTTCAAAAATATGAATTGATTCCATTTAATTTCAAATAACTGGACAGGTAAACATCTAAAAGCAGGGGAGTCTGTGTCACATGAGGGTGGTGGAAAAGAAACATAATCCACCTGTTCAGTAACTCAGGAAGAAAGGGAAATTTAGGTCAGCAAAAGCCCTGGAATTTATCACCTAGAATGTGAAAAAACTGAGTCACAGCAAATTTGAATAAAGTCAGGAACACCACACACAGAGTGTCCATTGCTGGTAATACACCAGTGTGACCAACAAATCAGTTATGCATGTGAGAATATTGTGGAGAAAGTCTGTACCTTTGTTACGTGTTTGATGGAACCAACTGTGAGGTTTCTTTGATGATGTTTTATGCCTGGGAGATCCCAAAGGTGATCCAGCACAGCTTCTCCTTCTTCTAGTACATGTCTTCGACCCTGGAACTTTGGTTTCTCATAAAAAATCCAACTGCAATAATGATAAAATGAACTGAGTCATTGCTGGTAGAGCATATCTGATGGAAAGCCCAGGAAAAAGCTTTTCTTACCAAGACAAATATCACATCTTTCTTATGCTGTCCCTCAGTGGTCAAATTCACTTTGGTATTGCAAAGTAAAATACACAGTTCTTCTCCAGGACAAAATATAAAATAAAAATGCAGCTAAACTACAATGTGAATGAGCAGCCTTATTTTACCAGGCCAAATAAGTATATACTGTCACATCAAACTGTATCCTGCTCAGGCAGACACTATGAAAGGCAGAAAACATACTAATAATGGCATTCAGAATTCCTTAGGATGTGAAAGAAATGTATGCAAAACCACATAAGGCTGCCTGAAAACTGCATAAATGTGACATGCATGGCTGACAGTCAGAAACATTCCCTGTAAGCCACACCAATTAAATTCCAACGCAACAACTGACACAGACCTGGTCCCAGCTTCCAAAAGCAAATTGAGGAACACTTGCAAACTTAAAGGTCCTTGTATATATCCTTCAGTAGCCACATTCCTTTCAATGCCACATTAAAACCAGCAGCTAAGAATGTTCATTTCATGGTCCTTTTGCATCAGCTACTGTATAATGAAACTGAACTGTAAAAATCCACCTTTTTTTTTTTAGTACACATATTTCTAGCCACGATTATGGCTGCACTGGCTCAGCACTTCAGGCAAGAGCTCTAAACTCACTTGTGGCTCTATTAGAAACTGCCTGTTTGAAGCCAGCTCCCAGGAGAAACAATGTATTTTTTTAGTGCAGCATTTAAACTTTGTTTTATGCTTTTTCACTGGTTTCAGTCTAATTATAAAGCAAGAAAAAGACACTACTGCAGATGGGTCATGTGTCATAAATAAAAGAAATAAAAACAGAAGAGGAACACACAGGCAGTCTTTTGGAAAGACTCTGTTTAAATATGACCTGGATTTCTTACCATCCTCTAATTATCCTAAGTACTGTTCCAATGGGAAAGATCCATGATGAGGCATCTAGCACATCTGAATGAACTTCTTGTTTACTTTTGTTGCCACAAGTATCATAAATAATAATCTGAAACAATACACAATGCATGCAAATGAGGGCCCATTTCAACACAGAGCACAGTTATTTTTTTTTGCTTGCAATTTGTGCCCACTCAACTGAGAGGCTGCACAGTTTCTTCCTTTATGAAACACTCTACTCAATGAGAACAGTTGCTGAGAAAGACAGTAAAATTACTAGTGGCAGGATTTTAAATAATATATTCTCACTATTAGCCGGGGGAAGCACATGCTATTAATACATAAAAATACAGAAAATTAAACTAACAACTTTAGATGCTTTCCTTTCAAAAACTACAGTATTACAAATTATTCCATGTATCATCTTGATTTATATGACACAAACTCTGCTTACCTTCCCTGGTCTTGGGTTGTATTTGAGACTTGACCTGTCAATGAGGTTCTGAAATTAAAAGGACATGGCAAACAACTATTAACAGCTACAACAGTGACACAAAACACAGGCAGATTATTCTGGGTCCACTATTCCTGTACATGTCCACAACTGTCTTTAGTAGAAAAAAACAAGATTTGTTTCACTGCCATTCAGAGCTGGTGTAAATTATTTAACAGGGTCAATCAGCAGAAAGCAGCATGTGCTAGAAAGGAAGAGCTGTCATGGAAGTTATAACCTTTACAAATGTATTACCCCTTCCCAGCAAAAAATAAACTGCATTTCTTAACAGAGAAAAGAACAAAAGATACATCTAACACAGACTGGAGTATTCACAACATCGTGGAAAGACTTCTTCAGTTACACACTTGGTCAATGTGGCACTTTTGGATTCTAAACAGGGGAAGAACTCTTTCCATACCCTCATTTGCCATTGCTTTAAGCAAACTAAAAAAAGAAATACTAATCTATGGAAGCAGCTATGTTATCTACTTGCTAAGTGAGCTATAGTTTGTAGAAGACACTGTGATGAAACAATCAAAGAGCCCAGTAAGCTGGTATTTTTTTGACAAGACAACTCTATTAATCTCAGAAGTGAAAGAAGCAAAAGAACAATTTTCATATAAAAGACAATTCCATCATCTTCAGGTTGATATGTCCTTAACAAGGAGTTGTGCTGTCTTGTGCTATAATAGAGACTTTTTATTATGCATATTTCCCTATTTTACCTTCTGTTCACATATTCTGTTTTACGGTTAAATCACTTTCAGCTGTGTGCTGAACCAAGACTTATCTTTTAAAAGTTATTTTATCAGAAGACTTTTTTTTTTTAAACTATGAAAAAAAAGCCTAATAACTTCTGATAAAAACTTTTGATTACTTTTTATGACAAAAACTTAATTAAAAGGTAGAAAGGAGGATAGGGAGGCGAGAACTCTGAATCTGGGCTAATCACTTTGATTATAAATATCATGCGACATGACATCTTACCGCTGACAATTCTCCCAGTTTTGGCACAGTGTTGTTTTGAAACCAGTGAATCTTTGGCTGCAGCATATCCTGAAGAAAGCTTCCAAACCTGGTCTCCTTTTCAGAAGAGCTTTTTCTGGCAGATTTCAAGTACTGGTAGTACACACTTGTAGGAGGCTGTGTTACAGCAGCATCAGCTTTCTCTGGAAGTGGTTTACAAGGTGTCTGACTGGGAGAAGACACATCTGGAAACTGTTCTGTTTGCTCCTGTGAGTCAAGCTGCTCTTTTGAAAGAAGAAATGATTGTTCAAGAAAAGATCTACTTTGGTCATTTGATTGAGGGGTTGCGTTAAAATTCCCTCTGCACTGACTGGAAAGGCAGTTGTCTTCTCTCTCAACATCAAGAATATCTTCCTCATATGAAGGTTCTTCCTCCTCTTCCTCCACCCCGTCCTCCTCGTCCTCCTCCTCTTTGCTGAAGCGGGCAGTGAACTGCAAGCGCTCGGACACCGACTGGAGGAGGGAAAGCACAGAGGTGTGCTCAGAGCTGTCTTTGGAGACTCCCCCAGCACGGCTTTCTGGAGACACGTCTGTGGACAGCACATCTTCCTGGGAGCTGTCGTCCTCGTAGATGGGGGACAGAGAGAAAGGATAAACCCTGTAGCGCTTGGCCTCCACGCTCAGGAAGGACTCTGAGCCTCGGCTCTCTGCTGCTTCGCTCACCTTGCTGTCCTGCCCAAAACGACACACTGACTCCTGCTTGTGCCTTGCTCTAGCATGCCTTAGATCATCTGTATCATCTGAAGGCAAATCAGAAGGAGAAAGAGAACCAGTTTGCATCTCATCAGTTGAGACGGATTTGTTCTCAGTTTGAAGAGCACCTTCATAAATGATGGTAAAAGAATTGTTTTCCCACTGTTCAATTAGTGGAGAAGAGGCCAAAAGTTCTGTTGGTTCCTTCATGTCACTGCTGCAGTCCAGGCCATTTTCTTCAAGCTGATCATTTCTCTCCATGTCTTGACCCTTGATTTGTGCCAGCTTCAGATTCCCATTATTTTGGGCAAAGACTGTGTTGAAGCAGTGTTTCCCTTCACTGGCCTCTCCAGGAACAGATGGTTCAGGTACCTTGGACTGTGTATCTAACCCAGAATTAACCTCTGCTCCAGTATTTGCCCCTTCTGCTAGTTCCTCTTCACTCTCCACTGCCTTGGAATTTTGTACAGTTGCTTCTTCTTGTACAGGTACTTCCTCTGCAGCCTCTTTCCCAGAGTGTTCATACAGACTGTCCTCTGCATTGCTTTCCAGAGACATCTGAGGGCTGCTTTTATCTTTGGAGTCACTCTGCACTCTGATACATTCTTCACCACATATAAAAGATGACAAATTAACATTTGCAGCTAGCAGCAGTGTGCACTCTGGCATATTTGTATTATTGCTTGAACCTTTTAACTGCAATGGCAAAAGTGTTTCTTCAGCCACAGCAGCATCTCTATCCATAAAATGTTGAGTTCCATCAGATTTTCTACTTACTGCTGATACTTGGCCACACATTTCTGCTGCAGCCAGATCACACACCCTTCCATTGTGCCTCTCTTCTGCTGGTGTCAGAAGATCTGATTCTGGCCTTGCTAAACTGCCAGAGGGAAGAAATCCATTTGTTTGAGGAGTAATTTCATTATTTGCTACTTTTTCATCTTTTTGGGGCCAACCTATGCCATTTTCCATACAATCTGGAAGCAAAGGAGGACCCGAGCAATCTGTCTTTTCACAGTTTACAGCTACAGTCTGAGTTGCAACCACTTCTGTTGGTTCCTGAGTGTTGGCAGGAAACTTCATAGCCAGACTTAAAGTCTTTGGCATTTCAGCCTCAGGTTTAGGCTGAACATTTCCAGAAAGTGTTTTCCTCTCAGTGCCTTGCTGCTGATTGGATGCCAGTTTCTGTATGGCTGAGTTAATGACACCATCAACTGTTTCTTTTGCTTTTAGTTCTAGTGCCCTGTGTAGATCAATTTTATCAGGAATGGAAGAGAGTATCTTTTCATCTTGATTATTTGTATCCACTCTTTCATTTCCTGTAAACGAAGATGAGCCTCCTCCACTGGGCTCATTAAAATCTTCTAATGATTGCACAGCTGACTGGATTTCTCCTGCTGCCAGCTGTACACTCTCAGCCTTCTGATAATTTGTAATATCCATATTTATTAAACTATCCTTGCTCCCACAAAGCTGGCAGACACCAAAGCCTTCTTTTGCTATTATTTCTTCTGTAGCCAAGTGTAAAACCAAGTCCACAACTTCTTCAGCTTTCTTCAGCAAAACAGCAGCATCTGGGAAAGAAGAACATTCTTGTCCTTTCTCAGAACAGAGACCATTTGCCTGGGCAGGTGCAGCAGCTTTTTGGCCAGAAGGGGCTTCCAAAGGAGCAGAAGCACCAAGAATCACCTGTCCCACAGCATCCCTGCAGACAGTCTCAGAACGGGCTGACTCAGATGCAGTTTCCAAAGATATCAAGGGACAGATGGGTGATGGCACTGCCTCTGCCGGGACACTGCTGTCAGCCTGTTGAGTGCAGAAGGCCTCATCTGCCCCATCGCTAGCTCTGTGACTGGAAGAATTACTGCTCCCCTGAGCAGTGCTAGACATCTGCAAGGCAGAAACAGGAAGACTGGAGGCTTCTCTGGATACCAGAGGAGGAGGAGTGGGCCTGGAGATGCAACCAGCCTCTGCATCTACTCCATCAGCACAGCTATCAGGCACAGGAGGAGTAATCTCAGTTTCCAGAGAATTTGCTGGGCACAAAGTTCTCAGGTCTCCTGAGCAAGGTGGCACCTTGGTCACCCTGTTCACAGGGATTATTCTCCCAGACTCTGCAGCTGGAAAAATAAAGGCGTCCTTTTCAGAAGCAGCAATCTGGCCATTTTCAGAGTTAGTGGCAGAAGGCAGGATTTTTCCTTGTTTGTCAGATGAAGAATCAATTACTGTGGGTGATAGCCTAAGCATATTGCTGTTTTCCTTCTTGGAAGAAAAATTAATGCACCTGCTTTCAGAAACAGGTGGAGATTCAGAAATTAAGTCTACATCATCTTTTTCACAGGTGAAAGCAGAATGGTTGGTCAAAGGCTTTCCATTAGATCTCAAGGCAGAATGAGGAACCATCATAGAGGTAGACTCGTGGGTTGGAAGCACTGTCAGCTCATCGAAATGTGTTTTCGCACTTTGACACCCATGTGCACATGGTGACACACTGGCAAGGTCTTCCACTGCAACCTCAGACAAAACCTTCATTGTTTCCTCACTCTCCTTTCCTGGACAAGGAAAACCAGTCTGCTGTGTGGCAGTATCCTTAGAATTCTCCACGTGGATTAGCCCATGGCCATTTTGTACATGCACTGCTTTCCCTGACCCACTCAGCTCTTCATTACAAGTCCCCCTGCCCATGACTGTATCTTTATCATGTCCAATAAATGACACTGAAGCAGTTAGATTGCCTGTGGCCAAGCACTTTCCTCCTTTGGATTCCATGCTGAGTGAAGTGACAATTTTCTGTGCATCACCATTTCTGGGATCACCATCTTTATTGTCACTCCTGGTGTGCTGATCTGCTTTCTGCTGAAATGTAGTGGTACTGAAATGAAGCCTCTGGACATCCAATGTTTGCTCTGAGTGATTATTCACTTGATGATTGCAGCAAAATTCTCCCTTCCCCTCTTGCAGTTCTTTGTTAACAGTCTTTCTTTTTGACTTAGGTGAATGTAAACAATTACCCTGTATTTCTTTTGGGGACTCTTTATTACCTGCTTTACTACAATGATTTTCTTTATCAAACTTAGAAGTGGCATTTTTGTCTGTCTGAAAGAGAGTTTCTGCTTCTCCTGGCAGTCCATCTTCTTTTCCAACCAAGTCATTTGCAGAACTGACTTTAAGGGAATGAGTACTCTGAGAAGTGGAATTGGTTAGGATCCCACTGTTTCTACCACTAAATGGCAATAATGAATCTAGTGAATACGTCCTTTTAACTTTTGTTGCAGCTAAAGTAGGTGCATTTCTTAAGTGCAACTCATGACATGATTCAGTGGATGAAGTTGTGGCCTTTGCAGTTCCTTCATGTTTACTTCTGCCCAAGCAATGCTGAGCTTTACCAGACTGTTTGCTTCCCACTCTAACTGCAGAAGAATTTAACATGGCATCATCTTGGTGATCTTTACCCTCATCTCTTCCATTTTCTTCTATTAGGCATTCTGATTTCACAGACAGAGCTGTCTGGACTTCTCCATTTTCTTTGACTGTTGAAGCATTTCTGTTCTCAGGAGTTTTTTCTCCTTTTCCAGTTTCTGACTGGTTCCTCAGGAGCTGCCTGATCCTTGCAGAACCCCGGTATGTTGCATATGTGACTGCGGGTGCCTCCAGCTTCCGTCGTGTCTGCCTGGAACAAGGATCATCAATATCAGAAAGGACAGACAATAAACTGCTGGCATAATAATAAAGTTTAGCACTAGCTGTAGATGATGTAAAATACTGCTTCATTCCACAGGTTAGCACAAAACATAGATTGCACTCAACACTATTTTCCTCCCTCTTCTGCTGAATAGAGGTTTGTGTGACAAATGATATGGACACCATCTTTTATCAAAAAAGACAACTTATAGTTTAAGTAAAAAAGTAGATGCTGGCTTAACCAACTTCTATCATTTATTTTGTTCCAGGCAAGGGAATTCTGACAAGTGTCACTGCAAGGCAACATTTGCAGAGACATAATCAATCATCCTGTTTTGAAGATTTTTGATGCTACACATTAAAACTGAAGAAAATTTACTGCACTAACGTTCATTAAAATATTGAATTGAAATTTAAACTTTTACCCAAGTTCTAACATACTCTCAAAAAACAGGAGGAAGAGGAGAAAAACATGGGAAAAAAGGAAGTATACAGGGGGATGCTTTTCTGAAAGAGATTGAATGGGTAAGAATGAAGACCTGGAGGGAATAGCAAAATGGGAAAACTAGACATTTTACAAGGAATTGATAGATCTAGCTATTCATTAGTCTTAAATTTAGCAGCAAAAAACAGTGAATGCAAAAACTAAGAAATGAAAGAAACACCACAGAGGAACTGTGATCCTGCTCCTTCACTGCTCTTTCTCATAATACTAAAAATAAGTTCAAAGCCTGTCACTTTCAATTTTCTGAAGTTTTTCTCCTTTCTTAAAACTATGAGACATCACAAATACTCACCTTTGTTTCAAATGCTTTTCTCTTTCCCCCCTATTTTTCCGCCTGTTAAAGAATTCTTGCAAAAATCAGTCACTGTCAGCTTTTCCATTCTTCACCTTAAGACAAAGTAGATGCTCAGACTAGACTTGAACTCCCTTCTGCCTCAGCCTCCACTTAAACTAAGAAGAAACCCCTTCAAAGTCTGCCCTATATCTGATAACACAGGGAATGCTGGAATCAGCCATTCAGCTGTCTGGAAAATTGTCCTATTCATTTGAGGAGACTCTCTTGGGCAAAAAAACAACAGCAAAAAAAGGTGTTAGCTAAGATTTGATTTCTAATATAAAAGCATTGTGATATACAAAGATAGCTTAATAGCTTCTAAAAGCTCTTTGCATCTTCCCTCATTTGTACAATTTGTTTAGAAGTTGTTACAGCTCTAGAGTTGAGAACAAATAATTTTAGTGAGAAATAAAAAATAAATTTACAAGGAAAGTGAAACATCGGAGTATCACTGAGTAACTGTAACTTCAAATCTCATCTGTATGGATTCTGAGCATATATTCTCTCAAAAGATATATAAGAATATAAAAATGGAATGGATTCACCAATCTAAAAATAGAATCTATTTTCTGACAAGATTTTAGAGGCCAAGATTCTTACTTCACTTTTATTTTGAAGAGAGAACTTATTACTATATAAAACCACAAGTAAAGAATACACACAGAGTACAAGTGAACTAAATGTGGAATTATTCAAATGCATAAACATTAAAAGAGATATATAAACAGTCATTTATATGCATGTTTTACATTGTCAAGTACCTTTAGGCTAATGCCAAAATATATTAATGTGGGCATTCAGACTTTGTGAGAACTTGATTTGTATTGGGATTAAATTCACTGTCATCTCTGATGGAGCAAAAGCTCAATATAGGGTTTGTTGGCCAGGTATATTAAGTCACAGAGGAAACAGGAAAGTCCAGTATAAATAGCATATCTCTCAAATTCCCAAGTTAGATGCCTACATTTAGCCTTCTATAGCACCAGTTTGGTTTATAGAGACACCAGCAGTGGTAGCTGCTAAACATCACACACTCCATTTGTAAAAATGGCTGACTTGAGGATTCACAATCCTCCAAAGAAACATAAACATTTCTGAGTGAAAAAAAACCAAAACACAGTGGAGAAAAAAAGGTAGTAAAAAATATTATTGTTTTCTACAGAAAATTTTATTCATATATTTTCTAAAACTCCAGGGGATCCTAAAAATGTGAGGGGAAGGATTGAGTTGAGTTCTGCAGTGCAGTATATTTACTCAGCATCAATCAGAGTCATACTAAAAATAAGTCTTAAGAATGTAAGACCTGATCATGCTCTTATTTAGAATTAACCTCACTGAATAACCTTTCCTGCTTTGAATAATCACTATTAAGCTTTTACAAACTGCAGCTCCTCTATACTTTGGCCAACCTCAAAAATAAAAAGTTGGCCTACAAGTGCCCTGAATCCAGATGAAATTTCTTTTAAGAAAACAAGCAGAACACATACTGGTACCATTCCTCCAAAAGAAAAAAAAAATTATGGATTCTTTCATAATTCATTACAGACCAACTGTAATGACACGTTTGAAGTGAGCACGTAAATAGTATTGCAAGATGCCAAACACTCATTTCCACCAAAACCAAGGCATGACTATGAATCAACAGCTTGACAAGAACTAGCTTTTACTGAGTGTCTTTTACTTCATGGTTGGTATTTTTGTATGATATGCAGTGGGGAGAATTCAGATTTATGTACAAACATGTGATGAGAACCAGTATTCCAGAAGAAACCTGGAACATACCTTTGCAGTTGTCTTCTGTACCCAAATTTGCCTTTGAATTTTTTATGTGAACTCAGAAATTCTGAAACCCAAAGAATCCAGATATGGGATGAATAGGTAAATTTTTCAGAAGGGATGCCAAGGAGAAGCCAGCATGATTGGGTTCTATATCTACACTGACTGGAGCTACATATCCCCCCAACATTTATTACAGAAGGCCAGACAAAAAAAACCCCCATACTCAGAGGCTTTTTTTTGCCTATGTGGCAACCTTTATAACTTCTCCCAATTCTTTTCGCTCTCCATTTGTCTTCTGAGGGAATTTTATGCTCCAATTGACCAATTTGAAGTCAGAAGACTCCAAGCCTTTTGCCCCTTGGAGAATTGTGCACAAACCCACATCTGAGGAGCACTGGCTCCAGCCCCTCTGCAGCTGCAGAGCCCCAGCCTGTGCCAGTGTCTCCCAACACACAGCTCTGCTCTCCTGCAGGCTTCACAAGACTTTTGTCAGTGAGCTTTATTTTCAACCAGAACCAATCTATCCTCCACAGACAAGGCAACTTCAGGGTCCCTGACCTTTGATAAAGAATTTGCTCCTCAGCATGTTATAAAAAATTTTATCAGCAGACCTTTTAGTCCTAATGCATTTCCTTGCAGAGCACACAGAAGCATATTCACTCTGAATACTCCCATGCAACAAGACATTTAAAAAATGAAAACCCATGTTCCTATGCAACACCAGCAACTCAGCTGTAAGTCTTATGAAACAAATTTAGAAGCAGGCTGTGCTACAAAAAAAAAAAAAAATCTTCTGATAGTGTCACTGGAGACTTGTTTCATTTCTGATCAGCAAAAGAATGTCAGGTCAGAATTTACTTTAAAAACTCCCTGCAAAAATTTTTTTCAGCTCATGTGAGGATGCAGATGAAAGCCTGATTATACAAAGAACCCAATGTGCATTTGTCACATATTTCAAATAGTAGGAGATTCCTTCTTTCCTGTCCTCACAGGAAGCCATTCAATTCCCTATAAAGCCTTAAATCAGTTTCACAAAAGACTTTGGACAGCAACAAGAGAGGATGTCAACATGAGTTACATTATATTTGTCAAAAGTAGGTGCTTGTAGATATTTCTTCTATTGTGAAAAATATATAAAAAGTTAAAGGGGGACTAACTCAAGGAGAGGGGAACATGTTCTGACATCTTATATGACAGACATCTTGTGTAACTTGCCCAAGTGGCAGTGGTTATAAAACAGTGTTGTTGATTTGGAAGGCCAGAAGCAGGAAGAAACCTGCTACCTTAAATGCCTCATCCAGTGCACCCATAAAGAACACATTGTTTGCATTTTTCAAGTGTTTGCAATCGAGATGACAATCCCTCCAAACCTGTTTGTACCACACAATAATGCAGAAAGCAGAGAGCCCTATACATTTTCCAAAAGGTGGAGGCAGACCACACAGGCTGACAGAGCATCTCAGACCCCTGGCAGCACAGTGCATCTCCACAGCAGGACACTGCTGCCCAGTCTGCCTCTCCCAAAACATGCCACGGTGAATTTTCCCTCCTACCTCACTCTTCCAGATGTTTTCTCTCCAGTGCAGCAGTCTGCTGCTTTTACAAGCATATCTGTGCATGATTCCCCCAATCTCTTCTCATAGACCTCACAGAGGGAGCTACCAGAGGGATCTGCAGCCTACAGGCTGAAAAACACTCATCTAGATTTGGTACTTGTGACTTCTGGCTAGCCCTCTCTGACCATCTTAAAATTACACTGTTGTTTATTTTAATTTTATTCCACTTAGCTTTTATTCCACTGTATAGTTAATTGACAGCTTTTTAAAAAAAATATGTTAAGGTACTTCATTTGGAAACAAATGTCCTAAAGTCACTTTGAAACACCTTCTGGTGGAACCCAGCTTACTCAGCCAGCTGGTTTCTATGCTCACGTAAGGTATTAATAAATGGGAAAAATTAAAGACTTGCTGAAAAAAAGACACTGAGGGCTAACTGAATAGTTGCCATACACAACTTAGATGAAAGAAAATTTTTTAGCCAGAGGGGATAGCTTCATGATATAAATCCGCAGTCTGAAATACTTAGTGTCCTGGGACGTCACAATGTATGTTTGAAAAGGTCAAAAGTTTGATTGAACAAAGTGATTTACACGCAGTTGATTCTGCAGGAAATTTCAAAGCTAATGTTCCATAAGGGCAATTAAGAGCCAATGACAATTTTAATAAAAGCAAACACAGTCTCTGTGACCTTGGAAGGAATGTTTTTCCTTCCCCTTGCCCTTTAGAGCAGTACTTCTTGATTATCTCCCACATCTGGGAAAACCTACTCTTTGAGTCTGGAGGAAGAGAGCACACACACATCAAGGCTGACC